GCATTTTTTAATTTCTTATATCGATTTGTACATCTAAAACTTACTTCAGAATTTAAAATAAAACAACCTAATAGATTTAATGCATATTTTTGATATTTTAAATTTATTTAATACAAAATGTAAGTGTTAATATGAATTTAAAAATTTAAAAAACCAAAGTTATAACCCATAGGTCATAAACATACATTTCTCAACCCGAACTCGAATTCACCTGAACCCAAAATAACCTGAATTTGAAGTCACCGAACCCGACCTGACCGACCAATTTGCCACCTCTAGACTCTTTTTATATTCTCATCTCTAAAACAAAGACGTTCCCGGCCGGCGGCCGTTCATGTCATTAAGGCATTTATACATGCTTGATGATTCAATGCGCTTAAATAATTGGAGGAGTATTTATTTATTGCAAATGATGCGTATTTGGAAGAAGATATTTATTTATTGAAAATGCTATTCTTAGGTGCATTTTGCCATTCTTCTAAATTCTTACGTGATTTTAAGATCTATGTTCATTTTATAGACTTTTGTGTATTGACATTATAAAAGAACGTATCTTTTACAGAAAGGAAAAATATTAACTTATCTGCCCATGAAAAATATGAAAAAGTTATATGTAGACTTTAGAACTACAAAAAATGCCCCAAAAAATAACTCTTTTCTTAAATATGTCTCCTACTTGTTTTAAAATATAAGTTTTTTCTTTTAATATATTATCTACTTTATAAATAAAAACTTTTATTAAAGAATTTTATATCACAGCAATAACAATTTATACAAGTTGGCAAAAAATACAATGTATGCAAACACGCACCGAAAATCCAGCTTTTTCACGCAATTTTCATAACATAAAAAGTAATAGTATTAATCAGATAAAACAACATTCTAAAAATATTTGATATAATAAATCTAATAAAACTATTTTTGTATTAATATCTAATATCATTTTATTTCATTTGAGGTCAAAGTTTACCATTTTAACTGAAAAAAGTCAAAAGTGGACAAATACTCAGAAACGCAGGGAGTAGCAATTACAAATAGCTTAAAACAAATGGGGCTTTATTCTATTTTTTTATTCTACAAAAATAATGAATTTTACATTAATGTGAATTTAATTAATTTTCTATTTTTGGTGTTGTAGAAGATAAATTCTCGATCTTCACAACGGTGGGTTAACCCAATTTTTTTGAATATATATCAAAATCAATTTTTGAATATTTTTAAAATATATACAAATAAAATATTTGTGAGATATGCAGTACATATTAATATCAATGGTTTAGGGTTTGAATCTTTGTTAAAAGTCCATTTTTTTTAACTTTATTTAAAAAAAGAAATTTGTAATTACAGAATATTGAATACAATAAGCAGAATATTCTAAAATGTTAAATAAGCATCATAGTCAATAGCTCAATCTTTGATTCTACCTCAAAGAGGTCAGCGATTTGAATCCAAACATTGAGTTTTTTAAATTTTTTTCAAAAAAGAAAATCGATTCGCTGGATTAACCGTCTGGCTTTCACCAGTTTTTACTGCTGGTTCAGTGAATGACTGGACCGGACTGGTTCGGGGTCTGGTTCGCCGGTTTTTAAAACTATGGCCAAAACATTTATTAAGATGAGGAAATGATAACCATTTTATTAAAAACAAGGAAATTTATGCATTCGTACATCTTGTGCATCTCGTTTCATATTGTATAGCACATGAGTTACCAATTCTAATAAAGATATAACTAGGAAATAAACATGTACAAGGGAAAAAATAAATACAATAAAATATTCTAATAATATTCAATGCTCCCCCTAATTAGAATACTAGTCGTGAGTCTTCATTCCTCTTAAGTCCTACCATAGAAGTTGAAGATACTTGAGGTGTTTGTTTGTCTTGTTTGTAGTTCTCTTGAGATGAGCGCCATAATAGAAGGTTCTTATCTAGGAGATTATTTCTGGATTTTCACGGAAGTGAGAACCAGGGTGATTTGCTTGCATCCTAGAGGATTTCTCTTGTCTGTCTAGTTCATTGGTAATTTACATGATTGACATGGAATCCTTAACGTAGGCTTGCTTCCCTTTCAGTTCTTGCATTTCATTTTTAGTTTTGTTCATTGCATTGGTTTAGTTCATTTCACTTGCATTTCATATCATTCATTTTCTCTCTTTCTTTAGGTCTTGATTCACATATTACGATTCAATATTAGTGTCTTTACACTTTGCACTCGATTTCTAACCAATAATGCTATCACTTGGATACGACATCCCTTATTTTACCACTATACTCTTTACTTTTTCCACATTTCATACCATTCCATTTTCATACATCTTTTTGATCGGGAGTTTTTGGCGTCCAAAAACGCGCCGGAAACTTCCTCGCATTAGGAGGAGTCAATGGTGATAGCGTTAACCGCGCCATTGCTTGTTGACGGGCACAACAGTAATGCCGAGGCGCCGTACCACGACGACCACCACCACAAACATAGCCTTCTCGAAATTCATTGATCTCTAAAGATGTTTTAGCGTTGTGGGTCGTACGACCACAATGAGAGCACACTAAACAACCTGTGGGGACGCCAAGATGCGAACGCCATCACGTTTGTGCGGTCATCACGAGTACGAATTACTGTCGTATGACATTCATCTTGGGTAATCAGCTAAAAGGCTTAATTTGACCACGAACACTTCCAAAGTGTTCATCATCCAGACCCATAAAAAATCCATGATCTTCTCGCGCTCTGCGCGTGCGCGTGTAACAACAGCGGCACGCCACGTGCACCCACTAGTTGGATCATCACAGCTCTAGAGTTGATTGAAAAGAGTGACGAACTAGTTGTAGTAGGCGACAACACTTTTTTCTTTGAAGCTTTTTTCCTTTTCACGGACCCTGCCTCGGGCTGAGTAACTTGGTCATGAGAAGGTTGCGTCTTCGGCATGTAATGAGGTTGCGATTCTGGAATGAAGTTTGGAAACGTCAAACCTTGAAAGTAACCCAAAAAGAAGTTTGGGAATGGTGTCCAATATTCAATTCCCTCAAAATTCGGACGATAATAATTATCGAACAAATTCCCGGCGTTCGGATCGTTTGGATTGAAGGGGTGAAGATTGCAATTTTTTGGATTCATGGTGTGAGTAAACATATAAATTCTGTTAAGAAATATAATAAATATTGAGATAATGAAGAAGTAATTTTGTTTGGAATAGTTAGAATTGGTTGTTTAAATAGAAGAGGGTGGTAGTAGGCTTCAAATTTGAATTTATTGTATTTTAAATTAATTTTTTTGGAATTTTGGTCCAAATGACCGTTGAAAGAAAAAAAAAGCACGGTCATTGACCGTGAACGTGACCACAGCGAGACTCACGATCCGTGGTCAAGAAGGGAGGGGGGAGGCGGTCTTTGTGTAAAGCACATGTGGCTTCGCCACGAGGGATCACGCGGCGCCACGGCGGTAGTGGGCACACATTACACCTGCCCTGAGGTGATGCATTCTTTAAAATAATTACAAAGAGAAGGCAACTTTTTCTTCTACTATTATTAGTTTTCAAAAACAAATGAAAAAAAGTTTTTAAATATACATATTCCAGACTTACTAATGAGCTACTTTAGTCAAGTTACATTAAGCATATTTTTCACTTCTACATTTTGTACTACCGTTTGTGTTAATTAAGATTAACTAGCATATCCAATATAACCATATACAAGAAAGTAGAGAAGATATAAAATGAACAACCAAACTAGGGGTACATCAAAAAATGTATTCTAAGTTGTACTTCAAAGAAATGCACAAGCATTTTAGAAATTCATACTGGCATAAAATGCTAGTTCAAACAAAAAAACTTGCATTGAAATTTTGTGTTATTGTAAATCTTCACACAAACATTACACAAACACAAAATGTTAGTGTATGCATGTGGGGTACGAAATTATATATTAATAATCTATATATTAAGACAAATCAAATAAGATCACACATGACTATATTTAGGCTTACACATTGAGAGAATTTGATGAGTCAAAGTGCTTAGATGAACAGTTCAAAAAGTCAAAAGTAGACAAAAACTGGGGGACGGAGGGAGTACAATATACCTCTAGCAATACTCATTAACCAGTCATCTACATCTGTCCAACAAAAGTTTGTACCCTTTAACTTCAAGGTTATTAATAAAAAAGTACTCCCTCCATCTCATTTTAAATTGCCCGTTTTAACTTTGGGACATATTTAAGGAAGAGAAAAAATGGAGTTGACTTTTCAAAATTGCCATTACTTTTTAGGAGGGATAACGATGGATGAGAAAAGTGGCCTATTTTAAGGGTAGTTTAGGTATTTTACTACTTAAAAGTTTACGATAACAAGAAACATGCAACTTATTTTAAGACGAAGAAAAAAGGGAAACGTGCAATTTAAAATGAGACAGAGGGAGTACTAAAAAGATGTTCAAAAAAAATGAAAGTGAGTGATTAGAACTGGTTTGGAAGAAATAGCACAGAGTATTTTGTAAGCATTCATTTCCCAAAAAGAATGAGAATCATTTTTGGACAAATTTAAAAAGAGAGTGAGAAAACTTTTTTAGGACGAGGGGAGTATTTAGCTTGGCCAACTCGTCTAGCAAAATTAAAATGAAAAAAAAACTTAGGTAGTGTTTGGAAACTAAAATTTCATTTCAACCTTGCATTTCAATTCCAAAATTTAAATCCTTGAGTTTCAATTGACAAAGGAAGAATTACTTCAAATCCAAATCCAAATTTCTTACACTATGTTTGGTTCAACGAAATAGAAAAGAAAAGAAAATAAGTCTCTCATTTTCCTCACCAAAATGAAAAAAAAAATTGGGTTTCCCTCCTCTTAGTATATTTTACCTTTTCATTTTCTTTTCTATCCACTTTTCTTCTCTAACCAAACCAGAAAAACTGTTTTCCATTTTAATTTCTTTCTTTTCCCTTTCAAATTCCTTGAACCAAACATAGTGTTAAGGTTTCCAAACATGGAAATTGAGCTGAATCTAGATTTGAAATCCAAATCCAAGCTCCCAGACTTACCATTAAAGATCCCAACTTCCTTTTAAATGCTAAAGATAAATTGCAAGAGCACAAAATGAAAAACTATATAGAAGAAAACAAACGGGCAGACAACAAACCTTGGGGTTCAAAGGTAGTTGTAACAATCATCATCAAAAACTTCAAACACAACCCCCTAAAACAAAGAACACATTTACCTTTGATGAAGGAATCCGTTTGTGGTTAATTCTTGAATGGTTTTCTTATGGATGCAGGAGGAATACATAGGATTTGGATAACTAGAGTATAGTTATTGTTTCCGGCCCCTCCCTCTCTTAGTGGTCTGAGTCTCTTGCTGCTCCTTTCCACCCACATCTGATATGTCCTCTGCAAAAACAAAAACAGTGATTCATGGAGATGATTACAAGAATGCCAATCCATTTTTCTTTTACAGAACATTAGCTTTACTATTTTAGCCCTGCTTCACTGTTATTACATCAGAAAAAAGCTCTCATTTCTTATGTCAATAATGTTTTTTTAATAATTTCTCACGATAAATATCTATATATTAATAATAAAATAAAAATCACTGCCCTCCAAATTCCCCAACCCAACTGGGCAAACGCCATCACCATCATGTTCATTTTTGAAACACCAATTCTCTACCCGCATAACCCACAATTCAATGACATCCAATTCATACAAGAGGAACAAAACCGGGGGGAGGGGGGGAGCGATTTCTAATTTGGATCAGAGGAGGGCAGGATATGGGAAGAAAACACTAGTCAGAACAATGTTATGTTTGAATCATTTGAAAGAGTGAGTCTGAAATATAATAATTGTGTCCGTTCCGACCCAAATAGAAGAATGTCACTCGTCCTAGTCCCTTTTTATCATTTTTGTCCATCCCAGTATCTTTGTTTCATTCCATATATGTCATATTCATGTGGTTCAAAACCATTTCTACTTCATTTATACATTACATATTCAACATCAACCACAGAATTCCACTTCTCCTTATTATGTCTAACGCTTCCTCATCTCCCAAAGATAATGGGGAAGGAGTATATCATTAAACATTTTGACTTTAGTATTATAGTCTGCTTATAACAAGACTGCAGCAGTATTATAAACTTGACTCTTCATTAAAGATTGCTGTATTACAACTCTTGATATAATTAAAAACATACTCCATCCATTCTTAATGGAGGTTCCTAGCTTGACTTAGAAGTTAGAACAACTTTCATTGCATAAATATTTTGCTTTTGACTTTTAACTTTGCCCTTGGAATATGTGGTTATGAATAAATAATGAGGAAAATAGAGGCAAGACATATTTCTACCAAATAAGGAAAGTAATTTTATTTAGGTAGAGAAGTTACTTATAGTCTGCATTTGCAACAACAATTATGTAGAACAATTTTGATAGAAAAGAGTGAAAATCGATCATGAAAAACGCCACTCCACCAAATGGAATGAAAAATGAAGGGCTTGGAAGAGTCCATAGCTCAGTTTCTTCTTACTTTTCTCAACTCCCCCAACCAAACACACAACACTTGGTCAAATTATTCCATTCCCCTATAAGGACCAAATGTGCTCCAACAAAAAAAGCCTTAAAAGATTTCAAAATTTCATACCAAAAGGTCCACGAGCCATTAGAGTGAAAAATATATTGTTTAGCTTCTCCATTTTCTTGGCATCCTGAGCTTGGTCTGTCTTGAACTTTATACACTAGCAAGAAGAAATTCATTGAAAGAAAATGAAATAAATCATCAAATCTATCCTTGAAAATTCAATTGAAAGAAAAACACCCTTCAAATTGATCCTCGAAAATTCAGCAAGAAACTCTTAAACAAAGAATGTATACATAAAATCCAATCAGGTTCCATAACTCTTAACAAACAATGTACCACTACCATAGTTATTAATGGCGAAGGGCGTAAGGACCTTTTTTATGTCGATAGGTGTGGCAAGAGGCGGGCGGTCAAATGGCGGACATACATGCATATACATACATACATACATACATACATACATACATACATACATACATACATACATACATACATACATACATACATACATACATACATACATACATACACACACACACACACATACATACACACACATATATATGTGTGTGTGTGTGTACATACATACATGCATGCATGCATGCATGCATGCATGCATCCATGCATGCATATCATGCATATCATGCATGCATGCATGCATATCATACATACATACATACATACATACATACATGCATACATGCATACATGCATACATACATACATACATACATATATATATATATATATATTATGGAGTAATGTATAGCAACAAATATTATTCATTGTATTATGCATTGTATATCCTAAAGCCTTAAGGCAGTGATTGAGGGGAGAAAAGCGAGAAAGGCAACCGCCTTAGGCGCGCCTTAGGGATATCACCTCGCGTGGCTTCCTTGAGGCGCAGAGAGCATGCCTGGACGCCTGAGGCGCAATAGGCGAGAGCGGCAAGTGCCTTTAATAACTACAACCACTACTCTTAACAAAGAATGAATACATAAACTCCAATCAGGTTCCATAACTCTTAACAAAGAATGTACCACTACTAAATTTGAGTGGCATGTTTTCAACCAAGATTTTAGCAACATTCACTGTGGTGGAGAGAAACCTTTTCCCATAGAATGTCCTTTCTTAAATAATACAGAGTAAATGACTATCTCAACATCTCGTGATATTTTGCATGCAAGTGCAACTTGTGAAATTTTGGTTTTGAACTACAATAAATTATTCTTTATTTAGAATTTTATACATAAATATAGTGTTAACTAGTTTTATACAATTTCATGGTGCCAACCCAAGCTTAGTAACATTTACGGTGATGAGAGATAATTATGACATATACTTAAACTCAACTTCAGATCTACAAATTGAAAAATGTTTCACATACCCTCTTAAGGATTCAATTCAACCAAAAGCTCAAGTTTGTGATCGGAGGTTCATGAAATGTGTCCTCTTATGTGCAAAGTAGATTTATTTGCCCAAAGCTTGCACGTGAACAGTCAACAAAGTTATGATATCATGTTAAGGAACCAAACAACCATAAGCTAAAGCTTGTGGTTGGAGCTCCATTTCTAACATACCCAAAGAGATCGAGATCATGAAAAATTATCCACCTCAGCATCATGAAAAAACGAATAGGAAAACCACTTTTGCAAGTCTAGTTGGTGACATCCAATGGCAATAGTCATAAAACTAAACTTCGTTTCAATCTCCACATCCATGATGGTGTTTTTTAATAAAACAGTATAGAAAACCTAAAAATTGGCCTTGCCAAACTAAAGCCAAATAATTTTTGTATGAGCCAAAAATTCAACTTAACTAGATAATAGCAAATAAATTAGACCAGCATTTACAGCACAAGTTAGTTCGCATGTCATGCTTGCAAAATGTTGATCATTGACTGTATAAGCTTTGAAAATATTACTGCACAAGAAATTACTCTGGACATGTGTAAATAGAAATTTGAGGATTACGAAAATAATGAATTATTGGGGCAAACAAATATAAAGAAGCCCAACAAGTTAGGTTTCTAAGGCTCATTAGATTCACAGGGGTATGATAGTATGTTTGTATATCAAAATACGTCAGCAATTTGCAAACGAAAGTATTCACAGCTCAGGGGGTGATAAACAAGGAGTAACAAACACTTACTAGTATGCCACAGAAAAGTTTCTTTGGAAAAGACAAATAGTGGGATGCTGATATCATGTACATACAATGTAAAATTCTAACAAATACAAAGCATAGTTGTTGCCTTAAAGGGACACTCATGATGCCTCATATTGTTCCAAGAAAAATGGGAGCAATGGATCAAGCACTCAGCCCACAATAGATTATTTTTTAGCTTGGACTCCGCGGAGAAACCAGCCAAAAGTTCATAGCCATTCTCCTTAATGCTTGCATTAACGTTGATGCATGAATCCAAACGTACCAAGTAAATACGAGTAGAATTCCCTCATGAGGCTATACAAAGTCTTACCCCCATCTATGTCTGGTATTCCAATATAATAAGTAGGGTCCAGCATACTGCATACCATATTCATTCCACATGTTTTTGTTAGATTTAATCGGGTTTGTTCACATATAACCGAATGGGTAATGAGTCAATGTTCGGGTCAGTTAGTATAGAGTCAATTAGTGTGGTGTCGTTTAGTGTGTTTTACATATCTAATTAATTTAAATAAAAAAACAGCAGTTTCTAAAAGGGAAAGTTATGGGTAGTTATTTCTGGAAGTTGTATTAGTTAGTAATAGATGTGTTGATTAGTGCCAATAGTTGTGTTGGTTGCTGTCTATAAATATTCCAGGAACATAGCATTCTTGTATGTAATTCACAATAAAAAAACACAATTCTACTCTGCATTTGATCTGTTCTTCGTATCAATTTTCTAACAGTTTTATCAGCTGTTGTATCCTACTTTAATGGTCAGTTCTTTACATCCTCTGGTGACGGGATTAGTCACAGCCGTAGGAGGCGGAGACCATGGCTTCCGCCATATACCATTTTCAAGCGCCCAATTTTTCCTACATTCTGTTGGTTTTTTTTTTTGCTAGAAATCATGGCAATGCTCAAGTTAAATATAAATTTTATGTTGACAACAGTACATCATGGATGGAGAATTACCGTCCCAAATGCAATATCATTATTCAAGACATATTGCCGAATGCAAATATCACATGCATCTTATATCAAATTATAACAAATATGTTTGAAGCATTAAGAAATTGAGATAAAATAACCTCTTTATTGTCGGTGACTTTGAGAACCAATTTACCATCGGAATGCCGATATTTCATGACATACCTAGTCTGAAATTGAAGATCAATGGATTTCAAAGTGCATAAGCAATAAAAGTACTAAAACCAAACATGATGGAAGCAGCAGAGTATTGAGAAAAAATACTTGTTCCGGATCAACGCGGAAAAGCTGAATAGATTTTTCAGCAAACTCATCCCAAGATGTAATGTAAACCATTTTCCAGATCTTGATCACCACAATCGTCCTATCAGTTAAAAGGAGAAATAAGGATTGTAAGAGCATCTCCAAGGGAGAGTGTAAAAAATTAAAAGCTATATTAAAATACTGCAGATTGTTTTTTTTCCAGATCTTGATCATCTTCAATAGTGTTTTAGCTTCTAACTTTTTTACCTCTATTCCAACCATAACATCTATATTATGCATCATCATTATTATTATTTATTATTTAATTATTATATAAAAAATTATCTCTACTTCAAGTTCTTCATTATTTTTCAATACATTGGAAGTTATCTGCAGAAATTATGGCAAATATGCATAAATCACATAACAACAAATATGCAAAAAAACAAAAAAACCAATTGATAGAATTTTTTGAGGAAAAAATAAAAACAATAAACAAAAAAAATGATCAGATGATGGAACAAAAAGCAAAAAAAAAGGCTGCAGTGGCTAGTTGGGGGCAAGCAACTGGGGTATTTTTCTTTGGATCTATTTTACTAGTACTGAATTTGCGAATCAAACGCAACCAGATCTATCGATTCAGAAGATGACTTCCCAGTTGAAACCGATAGTTGCACTTCCAAAAATAATAATTTGCTCAATCGGAAAAATACCTCCAGAAAATGTTTGCAGGAGGCAGTTGCCCGGTTCTATCACTTCTTCATCAACCCCTCCAAAATACAGAGTACTCCATTATACACTTTTTAGCAGATGTGAATAGTATATTCTATTTTTAAAAGATGAAAGGTGTTATTTACAATATAGTCTATTTTATAAATCACCCAATGGAGCTTTTTTTTTTAATAGTACAGTCTATAAAGTGTATTTTTTACACTATAACTACCCATTCGGTTGCGGGTATAATAAGTGTATCCATACGTTCGTGCAGATTAAGTTTTTAAAATACGGCTAACTATACATTTAATCCCTGTTTGGAATCAGCGTTACAGATCAGCGCTAGCGTTTTGAAAAGGCTATCTGACGGTAGCCTTTAGCGTTAGCGTTTTCTAAATTAGTCTACACCGTTAATATTTTATCCAAAACGCTAACGCTAATTGAAATTGCGCTTCCCAAACAAGGCCTTAATACGTTTGGAATATGTATACAGATATGTTGGTGTTTTATACATGTACTTTTTTTAGAAATACGGCTTATAATATAGGCATATATTTTGAAGAAAAATGACAATTTGAATTAAACGAACTTAAAAACAGTATGAATCTAATAGCTAGCCATTAAACAAGAACATAAAAACAGTAATGCTCAAACAAGTTTCCTACACATTTGGTTGTTCCATTTTTAGAATTTATCAAATGTAATGCCACCAATTCTCAACTAACCTTCATCACTTCATGTTGTACTTGGCAAGGTTTTAAAAGGCGAAAACTAGCCTCGAGGCGGTAGAGGAAAATGCCTCGAGGCGTAAGCCTCGAGGCGGAACAAGGCGTAAGCCTCAGATCAACTTGATAAAAGATAACAAACAAAACAACTTTTAGGTAAACAAAATGCATAATCCATAATTATGTCAAATAAGTCATTAAGTAATACATAAGTTTTCATTTAAAGCAAAAAAGGGGGCAGAATAAAAACGCAATAAGATAATCATGATTCAAGATAACCAAAACACTAAAAAAGTTGATGTAAAACCAAACTATATGTAAAAGATTAAATTTAAAGTAATTATAAATTATAATATAAACAATTTAGCAATGAAAAATCTTAAAATTTAATAATGAAAAATCTTAAAATTGGCTAACTTAAAATTCTTCAAGTTGCTGGAATTTTGGAAAATAAAATTACCAGAGTTAAAAAAAGTTAAAACAAATCTTCAAGAAATCATAAATTCGTACCTTAAGAGAGAAACGAGAATAGGAAGCCAAATTGCACAGGGAAAGCCGCGACCAGAGAGAAACGACCAGAAGCCAGAGCGAAAGAGAGAGACGGCGAAAGAGAGAGAATCGGAAGCTGGACAGCCACGCAGGGGTGCGATTGGAAAATTGGAACTTTAAGAGTTTTTATTTATTTATATTTAAGTAGTGCTTCCTGCCTAACTTTTTCAAAGGGGCCAACTATTTGAAGGCCCAATAACTTAAATTCAAAAGGGCAGAATATGGCTTATACGGACTATATTTCAAGGCGAACGCCTCGTTTCCGCCTCAGCGCCTTACCGCCTCGAACCGCCTCAATAAATCAAGGCGTACGCCTCGCGGAAATCATCTGGTGCGAACGCCTCTGGGGCAAAAAACTACCGCCTCAGCGCCTTACCGCCTCAGGACGGACCGCCTTTTTCGCCTTTTAAAACCATGGTACTTGGTACAAAACTCAAATACCAAAACATAAGAAGTTCATCAAAACAAATGGAATCAAATATGTAGTATATATTTTACTACTGAAAAATCATATATGCTTACGAATTCTTATAGCAACAAATTGCATATGAAGTGTATTCTTCCAAAAGATTGCATACCAAATCAACCTCAAGAATAGAATCTTACAAATCAAACTACTGTTGCTGATTTTAGTGTCATCAATTATTTTGTGTAATTGGGATTTGCTTAGTGCGGAGTGATTGAAAAAACTGCCAGTAGATGCTTTATATCATGCCAAATCAACCTCAAGGAGGTGCTACTTTGTTAATGCTAAATTGATAATCCCTAATTCCCTATTTGATAATTGCTATAGAACTTTACAAGTACTCCATATAGAGTACAGAACAACAAATTACAATACCTTAGGCGATGGAGGATGGAGATTGGAGAATTGGAGCTTGGAGTGATTGGACAAATGAGGCTGTCAAAGGCTTGAAATCTCGAAGCTAAGCAGACAGAGAAATCTTGCCGGAGTGCTAAACAAGAAGATGGAACTGGCGTCTCCGCGTCGGAGTCTCAGAGTTGGACAGATGGGCTGCCGAACGGACGAACAGATTTGGAAATTTGGGAGCTCAATAGATAGCCTCGAGGTTAGACCCGACCACAGGCCAACCCTCACAAGCAAGCCCGCCAAATAACAGGCTTGGGTTTGATATTTTAGAGTACAGGTCACGGGTTCAAGGCCGGTCCTAAGAATTTAATGGCCTGGGCCGACACAGAAAAAAATGACCCTAGAGGACTTATGCCTAATAATTTAAAATTTATGTTTATGTTCCTAAAATATGTATTTTATCTTTTAATTGGTATTCCCTTGCCCGGTATATTGATATTTTGAGAAAAGCTGTCCCGGTATACCTTCCCTTTTTTAGTGATCAGAACCTGTTGGGACTTGGGATTCATATTAAACATCATTCAAAAGAGTTAGTTGATTGACAGACAAATGATTTCTACCATCACCTCACTCAAACCAGATAAAACTCGGGTACCATTTTAAGAAAAAGAACCAAAACTAAAGGTAAAAACGAGTGGAAAATAAAAGTCTGCAAAATAACGAACAAAAATACCTGCAAACTAAAGGGAAAATAAACAGAAAAGAATATGCTAAAATAATTAACATTTAATATGCTCTAAGAATAATCCTAGTTAATATTCTAAAACAATTAAATGAAGAATGAATATGAATTAACAAAATAGCAATTGACAATTATTTATTGCAGTGAGCAAATCTTCCTCCATAGACAACAATTAAAATTAAAATACTTTATGACACATTACAACATTAATAAAACTTTACAAACAGAACCTAAACATTTGCAGCAAAATCATAGTTAAACTGCTAGAGTTACGCCTGAGTCAAACAATTGAAGAACATAAAACACTTGCAGCAAAAAAAAGCATAAGACAAAGTTACAAAGAAAAATAAAAAATGACATTAGCCCAATAAAACTTCCAGCGAAAACCTATAACCTGAACTTCCAAACAATTCAAGTGAAAAAAGAAAAATAAGAGTATGAAAAATATTAAGTACAAAAATCTTTATTGTAGTAACAGATTAATTGCAACTGGTCTGCAGTCAATTGAAAATATAAATCACCAAACATTCAAGATTTGAACAAACAAATATATAGTCGTTTAAGACTCGAAACTGAGACAAACTCAAATACCCAAAACTTCACAACGAAAAAGCTGAAAATCTGATGGAATTGAAGTGATAGTAATGGATAGATTTGAACTAAAATCTGGCAGTTTTAATAGAAAAAGAAACCCGGAAGTGCAGAGCTGAAATCACAATCCAAACATTTTCTTTTACTTAGGCCCCGTTTGGTACACGGAATTGGAATTGAGGACTTCAATTCCAATTCTGGTGTTTGGTAGGACAAAAATTATGTGGGTTTGGAATTGATAGTGCAAAAAATGAATTGGAATTGGCTGAATTCAATTCTATGGAATTGAATCTCATGGAATTTCAATTCCAATTCAATTCCAATTCTATCAATTCCGTATACCAAACGGACCCTTAGAGAAATTATAAATGAAGAAATCTAACTTGCAATTGTCTTAGATGATTAAATTTCTAAGATAGTATGAGTAAAGGATGTAAAGCCAACGGATAAAACTTATAAAAGAAATCTGAAACTGAAAGCATGACATTGGAGAGACTCAAGAGTAAGTGAAATACCTGGAGTGCTGGCGGCGGCTGGAGGGGGGAAGAACCAGCTACTGGCCGCGAAGGTGAGGCTATTTTCCGACGGGTCGGTCGAAGGTAGAAGGCTGATTTTTGCGAGGTATCTCTCTCTGATTCCAGAAGGCAGCGACTCCAGCAACGCATAAAGTAGGCTGATTTTTTATTTATTTGGATTTTGGGCTTATGGAGCATTGAGCTTGTTATATGTAAAAGAGAATTGGGACCCTTTAAATGACGGGCCCGGTCCGGTCGGGCTGTCCTTCCCTCCCTATGGACCGGACCTGCTCGGGTTTTATAAATATAGGCACTTGTACTTTAGAGCCGGGCTCAAACTTTATGGTCGAGTGGACGGGTCGACCCGGCATGAATGAATAATGATATTTATTATTACTATAATTATAATAAAATATAATAATAATAACAACATTACTATTAATAAGTATAAAAATAACACTACTATTTCCAATTATTACAAAACACAAACATATTTTATGGAGAAAAAGAGGAAATTATGAATACATTAAATAAATAAAATGAATACATCTTTTATTACTTCGTATCATACATTGATCATGATATTTAAATAAAAAATAATAACATTATCAAATAAAATACATTTTATATGTTAGTCTTTCTTTCATATACTCATTATTGTTATTATATCAAACATCTACTAATATATTAATATATTACTTTATTTAAACAGTTATTTTTCCACAGTAATTATTCAGAAGTTATTGCATATGTGGATCGGGTCGGGGTCGGGCTTCAATTATTAGGCCATAGGATAAAGTTTTTCACTTCTCATAATAGAAATCATCCTAAATAGGTCTAAAACATAAAAAATACCAAAATAGGACTTTCATGTTTTTTCCCGAAATAGGACTTCGCACTGTGGTAATGTGGCACTGTACATGTATTTTTTGGTAATGTACATGACCATGTTTGGTAATGTAAATGTATTTTTAGTCATATTTCGGGGATAAAAACATGAAATTCCTATTTTAATATATTTTTAATGTTTTAGTCCTACTTTAGTCTTTCTCCATTCTCATAAATGGGGTGGATTTAGCTAATTGTAGGGTGGCTAACAACACCCTTTACTTTACATACATTTAAATTTTACTTTCTTATTACGTTTTTAATAAATTCTCTTATAATTATCATTATTATTTATCTTTAGTACGGAGTATATATTTCTAGTTTTTTTTTTTTATTTTTACTATTCATTTATTTATTCCTTATATTTTTGTTTTTTATTAGTTACTTTTTTATTTATATTTTGTACTCATGTCCCCATTTTGATTACGATTTTATTTTCTCTCTCTTCTCGAGAATTTTTGTTTATTTGTGTATTTTCATTAATTATTTGATAAAATAAAATATTCTTGTCACCTCTTATTTTGTAAATTTTTTTATGTAGTTTTTTTAACGTGTAATTTTTATTTTTTGTTGATGTACAAATTTGTAAATAAAACGAATTTGAAATCGTAGGATTTTACCTCGTAATTCTTATTTTGTAATCAAAATAGGGACGGAGGGAGTAATAAATTTTTTATTTTAAATTTATTATTATTATTATTATGTAGTTATTTATTATTTTTTAAATATTTTTAGTGTGTTATCTTTGAAAAAGTGCTTGAATTACTAATCTTTGATGTTTATTTTGTTATAAACTCAAGTAGTCTAAATTATTTTGTAATACTGCTTTCTTACTTATCAAACAATAGAAATTGTGAGGGTAAATAATTTTCTTGAAAATCATTTTCCTTTGAAATTTTTATTTACAAAAAAAAATTGACCTAACATAAAATTCAAGTAAAAGGAGGTTTTTTTTAAAAGTTTTTTTAAATAAAAAGTATATATACTTAAAAAAGTGTTTCTACCCTTAATTCCTTGTTAACCACATGTTAGTTGGCTAGAAGTTAACCTATTTTCTAACTACACTACACTTAAGAAAAGAGTAGTATAATGGCAAGTACAGGGAGTAGTGGAGCCAGAGCGAAACTTCCGGTGGGGCACTAAACTAAACTACAAGAATTAGGAGGCAGCGCTCCCAATTTTTTTAAAAAAACAAGGCTTCCTGTATACGCTCTAATAATAAAAATAAGCATTCCAATTTATTTTACCCGTGAACAATCATTTAATTAATTCCTAATATACTTTTTCCGTCTCTAAAAACTCTTCTTCTTTTTTATTGATCCCCAATTTTCTAAATCTATTAAAAAATTACTTTTACTTCTATTAATTCTTAACCTACCAATCACATCACATCTATTTAGTATTAATCTATCCTGTCAAATCTTATTTTTACCCATCACGACCAAAGACATTTTTAGAAACTCGATACCTAAATACAGTTCTCTTAAATCTCTTAAAAATCAAAATCTCACACGTTTTCAAGGACATAAAATATAATACTAAAAAGATAATATTACTTCATCAATAATACATCATTTCATTTTTTTCTTAAAACTTTTAAACTGTGCAAACCTTCATTTTAATTAAACACAAAAAAATGTACAGTACTACAGTATATACATGGGAGGAGTAAGAGTAACTAGTACTATTGACTACTCATTAAGAAATTGAGCCTCTATTTTTGTTATTTCGTACTCCGTATATTATTTCACTAATCCATACTCTGTATATTTTAATTCTCCTCCACACATTTTGGTATTTATGGTATAGCGCAAAATTATCGGGCGTAGGCTCCTTATTAAAAAAAATTTGAAAACGGCATCGTTTTCTAAGGAAAAAAGCCATATACCTCCTGCTTTTGGGTAGTAGAAGAAAATCAGATATGTTGCGCCGCAGGCGGGGAGGCACCCCATTGCCGGTCAAAGAAGCCTATCGCCGACACTATACATTATACCTCTTGATCGGCAGTTCGCCGGGGGGGCACATGCCCTGACAGGCCCCCCCTCTCCTCCGCCCCTGAGTACAGGGAGAGTGTTTTCTATTCTTTCAGTTGCTAATCCACTTCACACATAGGGGTTTTTTCAAATGGATCCTAAACTAAATGCTAAACTTGAAAAAGTTGAACAACCACAAACAATCATAATTTGGCTACAAATTAAGAGTCAGAGAGGTGAGAATGAAGAGATTAGATTGAAACAATTGATATTAAAAAATGCTTGGCTTTATCAAGATTTAATCACTCAATCAATTACACACATATAGTGAAATATTCATTCAAGCATGCATATGAACAAATGTGGATCAACTAATATTCTCAGCAAGTATTTTTCTATTTCTATTCTCAAATAATATTCTATCAAGTTGCAGCACTTCAATGGAAACTATTTTCGAAGTATATTCTATCGAATGGCTTGTTGTCGCTCCAGCACGACCTTTTCATCTTCGGCAACGACATCCATTAGATCCTCCATCGCTCATATGAAGGACGACCATCCTTTTTCAGTTCCTCCTCCAGCTTTTTCTTGGGAAACACAGCTTCCAATGCATTTTTCTCCTCAACCAGCGCGACATCTAGCTTAGCCTTGGCCTTCTTCAGGTCTTCTTGCAAGGCCTTATTTGCCCGCAGAGTCAAGTGGAGCAGGAGTTCAGTTCAAGCGGTAACACATTGAGTGACTATCGTACCCAACTAAGTGTCGAATCACTCGAGATACTTGTTTGCAATCGAGACTGATTGTTAGCCCAATATCAAGAAGCGGGTTATGTTGTTGATCAAGAAAACTTCATGAAAGCTACAACAACGGAGGGAAGTTGCGGAAGTTGCGATAAATATTTTTATCCAATATTTTTAAAATTATTATTAGAATATGATTGTGATTTCAATTCCAATTTCAATATAACATTGTAAATTAAAAAGTGTCAAGCATCAACTTAGATATTTAAGATTTAAACTTTATTTTACTTGATTACATCATTTTACCCTTTTACATTTTTTTTATAAATGTTACATTATTAAAAACTAAAATACAACATTAAAACTTTTTTTTAAAAAAAATACCAAAACCGGTACCATGAATCGGACCGAACCATGTCATCGAAAATCGGCAACAACTACGGCTCCTTTGATACTCGGAAGTGGCGATTTTGCAACCATAACTGTACCATTGTATCCACGCCTAGTCATTATGTTACATCTTGCTTCCAAAAAAAATTTGATTTAGTTTTTAAATCTGTAAATCTTTTTTAATTCCACCCAAATTTTCAAATAAATTGAATTAAAATAACTTCAGTGAAATCACAACAAACATTTTAAAATGGGACGAGGAGAGTACTACGTATATATAATTGTACCGGTTCTCATATCTCAGGTACATCTTTAATACATGGACGTTAAAGCATAAAATGTTTATCTGCAGTGGACCTTGTAAAGAGTAGATTTTTACTATGTAAATTGACTATTTAATATTAATTTAAATATTATACCGCATCGAATGAATTGATCAAATTTTTAGTCTAGCATCATTGCATGTTTAAAACACTTACCTAAACTTCATGCGTACCTACACCATACATCCAAATGTAGCGTTTTTCGTACATCCACCTAAATATGTATATTCGAATAACTGAATACTCAATTTCGAACAACAGAATCCTCATTTTTGAGTAATTAAATACTCATTTTCGAGCATAATTGAATTCTAAAAAAAATGAGTCACTCGTAAATGAGAACTCGTCATGAATGCAAGGAAAAGACCGTACAACCGATTGTACGGCATAGAGAGCGAAACTTCATTGCCAGCAGTGTGAAGAGAAGGTTATGTTCATTTGGCCAAGTGATCAAAACACAAGAAACATTATATGATCATTTTGAAAATCGGAGATTCCACAAAAGGACTCTCGAGCAGTCTTCTTGTGGAATCCCCATCAAATTGGCCCCTCCATCTTCAATCACCTCTTTCTTTATGAAATTCAATGAGTTTTGAAATGAAGACGCACGGCCCCATCTCTCAGGATCCCAAAGAATTGAACTGTTAAAGGCAAAGTTGGAAACCCTAATTGGAGGAGGAGGAGGAGGAGGCTTTGATTCATCATCATCAACATATGTTTGGTTGTTCTTCAAATGCCATCCTATTACTCTTGAACAATCACACACTGGCCCCTCTATCTTCACTTCTTTCTTGTTTGCTCCCAATAATGCAATTGGCCATGCCCCAAAACCCCTGTCCCATTTATCAAACCCATCTCTCATTAATAAATTATCTCTTTTTCTTTAGTTCTGAAAACATACAATGACTATAAGCAGCCATTATATATTTCAAGAATTTACAAGAAACCCACTCAACATGTACATAAAAATGTTAGCTCTACAAGTTTTTCTGCTTGTATAGGCAGGCATGGTCTATGGAGAATGCAAAAATGGTAGGAACCCACCACAAGCACCCCACTGATGACAATAACAAATTATTTATACTCCGTACATACACAGAAGATAAGAATTGTCTACAAACATATATGATTATCGTATGTGTATGTGTAAATCATCTGCGATAATCATCTTGGGGGCACCCGTGATGGATTCCTAGCATGATCCTTGAGAATAACAGATGGGCTTTTTGAGAAACCGCTAAGTTTCTCGCTTGTCTATTCCTGGTAACACACTTCTTTTTTTGTTCATCTCAAAAAAGATTTATTTTTTTCACTTATAGAAAGCTTTCTGTAAGTGATGTCATTTGTCTCATATTCGCTTCTGTATCATTTTTAGCCACATGGTCAAACTTCATTCACTTTCTTCATCTATTTTTGTTAGTAATTTGATAAAATAAAGTACTATTGTCACTATTGGTTTTGTAGATCTTTTGATGTAGTATTTTAATATGTAATTTTTACTTTTTAACTCTATACCATTTGTCATATAAATGATTTGAAAATAATGTCTATTAAATATCGTAAAACGAAACAGACACTATAAATTGGGACGGAGGGAGTAGTTTTTTTGTAGGACGGAGGGAGTATTAAATTTTATTTTGTAATACTCCTTCCGTCCCAATTTAATTTATCTATTTATTATTCACAAGGTCAAACTCTAATTATATTTTTTACTCATTTTCAAAACATGTTTGATAAAATAATATCACCTTGGTTCCCATGACATTGGGAACCAATGTCATGGGAACCCCCTTCAAATAATATAATCTTGTTACCTTTTATTTTGTAGATCATTTGATATAGTTTTTTAAATATGTAAATTTTATGTTTTTAACTCCATACCAATATTTTACTAAATTAAGTTGAAAATAATTTCAATCAAACCACTTAAACAACATGTAATTTAAATTAGGACCACTTAAACAACATGTAATTTAAATTAGGACATAGCAGTACCTTATCACAAAAAAGAATGTTTTATCTGCAAATTAATATTCTTGTATTCTCTGTCTGAAAATTATATTCTTAGTTATTCTCTTAGATACTTCTATTAATATTAGTTAAAATGAAATAGTTATGTTACTTCTTATTTTGTTAAATTTCCAATATAGCTTTTAATGCTTCTTGCACTGTTAATTACTCCGTAAATAAATTAAATTGAAACCCAATTTAGTTATATATCATAAATCAAAAGAAAATAATTTTGGAACAATAGAGTAATAATATTGGATAAGTTTGTGCAATTGTGCGTGCAGGCACGCATATGTGATATAAAAAAATTAATCGATTTAATTTGCAACTTCACCTTCATAATTGAGTGTCACAAGTTGTGGGGAACTATGATTAAATTCATCAAAGAAACGACTCCATGTCTCCATCCCTTTGACAATATAATCGTACGGAGTATAAAAGTAGGGATTGAATCTCATTTTAAAGTACGTCATTTTCTCCAACTTCGATTATAGTAGAAATAAGTGATACGGACTAGTTCGAAAAAAAAATGATTAATTAAGATCTTGTTTAATAATTTCAAAAATGCTAATGTTAACTTTTAACATTAATGCCAAACGGGGCCTAAGTGCAGTACTAATTTTAAGAAAGTATGGATATTTAACGAGTATCTTAATTGGTGACCAACCAATCCCCAAGGGACCAACCGCTATCGTGAAAGAAGAAGAAGAAGACATACTCTATTAATCTGAGGTGATGAAAGAAGTCGAGATCATAAACGCCGAAAAGTCCTGCGAAGTGAACGGTCCCACTTAGCCTGTGGTGCTCAATGTGAGTCAGAGCCACATTCCTCTGATGATCAAGCTCTTCGCGCATGTCGGTGAAGTTGTTCTCCTTCACCACTAGATGCCTGCACATGATTCCTGTCTCCCATAATAACTCAGAAACCTCTGAGTCCTCTGAATGCCGCTCCACGACCACCCACATGAGGGGCTGAGCCACCAGTCTCAGGGTGTTTGCAAGCCTCCTTAACAGTACTGCTTGCCGGATCTTGTCTTCAGTGGCTGTTGGAGTCACTATTATCACAAGCCTCCGGGGAGGAGTCTCCTCCTGCAGCTTCATTGTGGGTTTGGGTTTTGCTGCAGAAAAGCTTCTTCTATCCAACCAAGTCTTGTTGAAGTTGACACCTTGTGTTCCATGTGAGATTTCAATGGGGTTTTCAGAGCGATTTGCTTCGGTTTTCGGCAGGGAATGACTGCCTGAAAACAGAGACGCCCTCCGAGTTGGTGGAGCAAAGCCTGTGAAAAAACCCATCACAAAACATAGCAGAAAATGGACTGCGGCGTTCTTCCAGAGCTGCACTTTCTTCTTTGATCTTTCCATTGATCCTGTTATGCAAACTCAGTGTAACTGGCTAAGAAACAAATGACTCAAATGTCAGGTTTTAAGAACTGTCACTTGCTGAAGCTTTGCTTTCAGAGATCATAGCTTTAAGTAAAAGGAACAAAGAATCACAGTTTGGAAGTGTGTAGCTTTCTTGCACCAAATATTAGTTGGGGCTGCAAGTTCATCACCTAAAACCATTCAACAAGCAATCCCTGTTTCAACTATAGAACAGCTCATATCTCTCAACTTCAGTCAGATTATATGTCAAGTGTCAACCTCAGCAGGTTTTCCAAAACTAAAAAAACAATTTCTAATGTGAAATAAAATGTTTTTTCAATCCTTCAACAAATTGGAAATCACATTTCTATCAATAATAAGAGCTTAACGCAGAGATGAGAACAAAGCAAACTGCTGATATATCTGCATAGCTGCTCGATGTAAACTTCAAAAAGAGCAGTTCTCATGTATTGTCTTTGGTGAATACCACAAGTTTTTTTAAGGCAAAAATAAAAAAGCAAAAATCTTCCACGGAAAACTTGGGGCTAAATTTAGGTCAATCTTCAGGTTGTGCAGAGATCGCTTCTCTTTGTGGTCTGTGCCTCCTCCATTTTTTCTTGGATAAAGACATAATCCAATCAGGAACCTCACCTCCCGATGCAGTAATAACATTAGCTATGTTCCGCAAAAACTGAACATCAGTTTCAGTGTAAAAGGTAACAGCCTCTCCACTCCTTCCTGCTCTCCCAGATCGCCCTATTTTAGAGGTAAAGAACACAGTTCCAGTAAGGATAATGACATACATGACTAAACACGCTAAGAACGAAAATCCGGAGGCCGGAAAGGAATCCCAGGTTATGTACCAATTCTGTGAATGTATGCTGCAGCAGAATCTGGGAAATCGTAGTTGATGACACAGTTGACCCCTTTGAAATCCATACCACGGGCAAGAACATCAGTTGCAATTAAGACCCATGTTTTCCCGGCTCTGAAGTTATCAACAGCATTTTCTCTCTGGATTAATTAGTTTTCGTTAGAAGACAATATTACTCTGTAAATAGTTTTCGTGGCACAAGTTTATACAAACAATACTCACTCCCTCTCTAATACAAGTTTCAAAAAATTATGACTATTAGTATTGGAATAGGAACCATTCTATAAACATGCCTGTTTTGGGGAGAGATCCGAATGTATTACATCAGCTCGAATATCATCAAACTTCACCTCATTGTACAGCTGCTTAGCTCTCTCTTTGTTTTGAACGAATAATAGAATGGGTGGGTTTAAACTCTGCGACAAAATCAATAAGGTAGTCATTATTTAACATATGCCAGTATACATACTAGAAGTAAGCAGCATCAACAATACTGATTCGAAAATTTAGAAAAGAAAAATTTGTTTCTGGATCAAGAACCTAATCAGAATATATACTGTTTAATATGATGCATAAAAATTGAAGAACTTTGTTCATGACCTTTCTATTTAGAAAGGGAGCAACTGATCAAAGTGCAATGGTTGATTACTCTACAAGACCAATCCATATGATGGATGAAGATAATGAGGATAAGATGTATGTAGAATCACAAAGACACGCCAATTTTTCTCCATGCTTTCTTTCATACTAGATTCGTACCCGTGCGTTGCACGGTCAATAATTTTTTAAAAAAATTTACTGTGAAAATCATAACACAACTATACATTATCTGATATAGTACATTGAAAGATTGGAGGGAATCAGTATGCGGTACAAAAAGAAATCATTGCTAAAAATTTAATCTTATAAAGTTGATTGGTGTGGCGATAAAGAAGGGAATCTCAAGGTGATTTGGCATTGGTGTCAAACGACGTCTCCGACATCCCCATCCCGAGTGCCCTGATTGCTTTTATTTATATTACAGTAAATGGCTAGTTGAATAAAGTACTTCATCTGTTTCTCTTTTTATTACAATTTTTTTCTCTCTCTTCTCGATAACTTTTGTTTATTTATGCGATTTTATTAAGTATTTTGATAAAATAAAATATTCTTATCATATCTTGTTTTGTAAAATTTTTGACGTAGTTTTTTAATATATAATTTTTATTTTTTATTGATATACCAATTTGTAAATAAAATTATTTCCAAAAGAAAGATATTTTTTCCTCATAAATCTCAATTTGTAATCAAATTAGATACAAAAGAAGTACTCCCTCTGTCTACCATAGATCTTCCCAAACACTATTCACATGGTCAAACTTTACTCACTTTGTTTGCTCATTTTTACTAGTCATTTCGTAAAATAATATAGTCTTGTCACCTCTAGTTTTGTAGAACTTTTCATGTAGTTCATTACTAAATAGATTTTATTTTAAAATTTTACTCCTATAATCAATTAAATTGAATTGAAAATAAAGTCGGTCAAGCCTCGTAACGCGTAACGGGAAGAACTTAGGTGGACGGAGGGAGTATAATAATGGCACACTTTTCAAAAGATTTGGAAATCTATTATGTTAATGGGTACACTTATCAATGACATGCTTAGCTCGTAGTAAATTGATAGGAATGTTTAAAGCACATCTTTCAATAAAAGTAAATAATGGTCATTAACACATCTATAAAGTAAAAGCCTACTAAAGCAAGCCTATACCCACATGCATAGTTGTGAATGGCGAATGGCGAGTGGCGGGCGAGAGGTTCTTTTTTATGGCGAGAAGCGTGGCGAGTGGCGGGCGGTCAAATGGCGAACATTATATAAATAAATAAATATTATATATATATATATATATATATATATATATATATATATATATTGTTTAAGACTAAACTTTTAGTCTTAACTTTGTATCAAAGTATCAAACATAATTATCAAAGTAAAACATGAGTTATTGGTAAAACAAAAAACAAAACATAGTACTTAAAAATAAATTAAGAATATAATAAAACACATAGTGAAGACAATTAAGAAACAATAAGCATTCAAAAAAATAAATAAAGAAACAATAAGAAAACAAAAATAAAAAGTCTGACCTACGAAGTGGAGTCTCGACTCTGCGAAGCGTGCTGTTTGGACTCGGGAGAGAGAGGAGGGGCTGCGCCGGCTGAGGAGAAGCTGAGGAGGGCAGGAGGCTGAGCCGGCTGAGGAGAAATTCGATCGACTATTGACGAGACGGAGAGACGCAGGGCAGTTGAATCGATCGTATGAGGAGAAGTGATTTGATCGACTACTAATAAGTCAGCGCGTTTAAAAAAAAGTCAACCTTTTCAATTAAAAATCCTTGACCTGCGCCTGGCGTGGATGGCGAACGCCTATCGCCACAGAGAATGGCATCCATGGCGAACGCCATAGGCGAGAATGGCGAGCGCCATTAATAACTATGCCCACATGCCTCACCCAACCCAAAAGCCTAGCAGTCCAATCAGCCCACCATTCATGAACAGTGTTACCCGGCCCATTTTTTAGGTGGGAACACTGTTCAAATGTGGTTCTCATCTTTGTATATGTATAGATGAAGAAGGTAAGCTTGGAAAAAAGATCTAAACTGAATCAAGAGAGGTAGTATCAGTTTCCATACCTCTGAAAATGTTTGACGAAGAGCGAGAAGTTTTCCCTCTTCACTCCCTACAAACACCAGTTTCTGCTTAATTGTTTCAGATGCAGAATTTCTGTACAAGTTTCAAGGGATCAAAGTTTGACAATAGTGATTCCAGTTCAGATGTTTTCAGAAAGATATATAATACTTACTTCCGCCCTATGATAACTCGAACTGCATCATGCATGATTGTTCGTGCAATGGTTTCAACCTCATCCGGTAAAGTGGCACTGAACAATAAATGCAAAATTGAAGGATTTGAGCAAGCTTTGAACACAAAATCAACCTGATCCATCAATCCCAGCTCAAAAAGCTTATCAGCTTCGTCCAAAACTAGAAATTCAGCCCTGGATATGCAAGCAAATATTAATTTCTTGCATTTCATTTTTTCTACATAAAATCAAAGAGCATTACATTTTGTTAGTATAATTCTGTTATTTATACAATGGAACTTAAGATACCAGAGTTCTCAAAGAATGTAAAGTCTTCCCGTAAAATTGAATATATGGGGGAAAAATATTTTTACATCACCAGATATATTTATTTCTCCTCTCTAGAATTTGAAGAACACTTTTTATACTCCATATTTCATACTTTCCAAATGCAAAATAGTTTTCCAAAGTAATAACCAATTACTCATTAGAAGTAGGTTGACTGCCTCTGCCACTAAGGGTCATAACAATCACTTCCACCACCACACACTGGAAACCACAGCCACCGTTAGGCGTTGGCAACTGCTATGGCAATTGCAACCCATATGCAAAAACAATACCCGAAATGCTGATGGCGTTTGGCAATGATGGTATTATGCCTTGTCACCACCACACTTGCTGGCCTTTGGCAATGTGGGCAGACACTGCGACTGGTGGGTGGTGGCACCTACTATCAATTCCAATCGCCAAAATTTGGAACCACCAACAATGGCCACTATTTTCATCCCTGCTTACAGCGGCCGACTCCTGCCAGCACACAAACCTCTGCTCATGTAAGATTCCACCACGAGAAACTATCACCCACTTATCACTGGCCACCAAGCTTGCAATCTCCTCCAATGGGTGCAACCACCCCACCGCCATATCTGGCAACACCAGGCCCGGCTTCAACCATTTCAATCATCAACAACCATAGGAAACACCACTTAGTGCAGACCACCTATGTCACCATCACCGTTATCCGACTACTATAGAAGAACATACTTCGAAGGTTGATTTGGAAAATGTGTTGGGTTAACATAATCTCTAAATTAGAGAACTAAGGGTGGTTGTAATGGTGGGTTTTGAGTGTAGGTTTAGGGGTGGATGAGTTGGCAAAAAATTGTTGAGTACTGGTGTTCATTACTCTAAGCAATTCTACTAGATGCAGCTACAATATTACAACTTTCTGACTATAAATTATAAAGATCTTGGTACATATCTGCGGGTGGAAAGCTAAAAACTGCTTTAGACTCAAGAAACACCTAGGGACATCCTAAAAGCATTGTGACCAGATGAAATAGAATAGCTCTCTGTCTTTCCATAAAAAAAAAGGTTTTTCTTGTTTATATAACAAAGCAGAACTCACATCTTCGGATATTATGATCCAACATACCTGCTTAGATCAAGCTTTCTTTTCTTAATAGCAGATTGCAACCGAAATGGTGTGGATATGAGTATATCACAATGCATTGTTGAAAAGTCGGCACTTTTTGTAAATTGTTTTGTCATCAATTTGATATGGAATTCCTTTCTGGCCAGTTTCTTGCATTCTCTTGCTGTTTGAGCAGCTAACTCTCTCGTGGGGCAAAGAATTACAGCTCGGACACCATCTTTGGAAGTGTGCTGGACAATCGAACCCATTATTAGTGAGTTAGAGTGGCCTTTCAAATGTATTGCAGTGTTGCACATGCCAGTTTGTTACAGTACCTTCAACTTCATAAGTATTGGGCAAACAAAGGCAAATGTTTTTCCTGAACCAGTTGGTGCACACGCAAAACATTCCCGTCCCTGACAGAGTTCAAACAAATAAAACTACAGTAGATGACTCCATTATTAAAGAATAAAGTGTGAATTGAAAATTATAGCTAAGAAGATATCATACAGCTAGGATGAGTGGGATAGCCTGCCTTTGGATGGGTGTTGGCTCTTTAAATCCTAGTTTTGCCAAATTGCGTAAGAGGTAAGATTTACATCCAAACCTGTACAACCAAGAAGATTTAACATCCAGAAAATTATGCACGAAAGCACATTTCATTAGCTGCGCTGAATGTGAGACTTTACTACAAGATATCAAGAGTACCTTGATCTTAACTCTGTAAAGCTCTGTATGCATGAAGGAACACTACTCCCAGAAACATGGATATTGTGTTTCTTACGGAAAATTGCATCCCTCTAAATGTCAGTTCAAACAAGGAAAAAAGGCTTGTTCATAATCTCGTTTTGTATTTGCGTACAGAGGTAAGATATATGTTCCAACTTCAAACCATAAGCCATGCAAGAAAATTAGATAAAAATGAGAAGAACCTCCAATTGCCTATAATATTCCTTCTTTCCCTCCAAAATTTCACCTCCAATATGTTCCTCTCCTTCTCCATCAGCTTTGGTTTTTGCTTTGGAACTTGTGAAGACGTTGAATCCTTCAACTGGGTCTGGAGTTTATTCCATAACACCCACAGAACGAGAAAAAACAGTTATTCACCATGCCATACCCCTGTTTCTTTTTGGAGGTGAACAAAAATATAAATAACCTGAAAATGCTTGCTTTCTCTTCCTTTTCTTACTAACCAAATTTGATGGATGCTCGTCCTGCTTAGGACTCCCATTGTCAATCAAACTCAACTTCTCTGATGATTCATCACTTTCTTTTTTCTCCTAGAAAAGAAAAGGACGGTAATGGACTGTGTCAGCTTAAAAATTATGCAATCACAAAACATGAAGATCTACATATACTAATGCACAGTTTCACACTACAAATACTCATCAAAATTAAATTTGTTCCTTGGGAGTTAGGACACTACCCCACACAATTTAGAGAACTTGTCTTTTATACCACTTTACAATTGTTTTTTAATAAGAGCGATGTGTCTCATAAAAGTACCTTGAATCTATCAAAAACATCCGTGAACTTCTTGCGATTGAAATATGTGCCAGCAAACAGAAAAGACGCATCCCGATCCATTACTGAACTGCACGCCGTTATGGTACAGACTAAATGAAAAAACTCATAAAGAATGTGTAGGTTACTAGGTTCATATAGAATTCACTGAATAAAGCGCAAAAGATTTTCTACTTATATTCAGGTGGTTCAAGTAACTCACCCAATCTTAGGTCCAAACAATCTCTAATGGTGGAACACCGTCAGCGGTTCACTGGTACCTCTGGTAGGAACAATGATTTGACAAGTCGAATAAGTTGTTTGAAATGATTTTCTGAAAACACATATAAGTCCTTGGTGGTTCTACCATTTTGTATGCCCATCAAAGTGAAATATCATTACTATCAGCATTCAGCAAAATATCAACAAAAAAATACCCGGCAACAAAATAAAATATTAATTATCATTATAAAAGCAACAAGTATATACTTCCTCTGTCCTAACAAAAATTTCACAATTCTTGTTTTTGGCAATGCAACTTATGGATGAAAATTATTCCACCAAATGATTACAGAGAGTAAGAAGTAACAAAACATAAAAATCTGCAACCATATTGAAAAAGAAATAAATGTTGTTATAGTACTATCACCACGACCCGTCCCAATTCATCTATCTTCTATCAAAAAACCTAATCCCTAAGAGAGACGGACCGGTCGGAGCAGAGCTTTACCCGGTCATTCTCAGCCGACCAATAACTAGTCGGAGCCCATGCGAACTGGCCCGTGCCGGAGACCAATAGATGAAATTGCAAAATAGGATGAAAGATTAATGGTCTCACCTAGGGAATGAAAGAAGGCGGATCGGCGCGGCAGGGTTGGGGTAGAGTGGACGCCAGTCGCTGGGAGCAAGGTTGCGTCCGAAAGAAGACGGAGTGAATGGCGGATTGGCGATGCCAAGTACAGAGAAGACCTTACCTGAACAAGACGGAGTGAATGGCGGAAGAGGAGGGAAGCGAAGATGAAGAACGGCGGAGAAGGCGTTTTGGTTGGATTTACAATATAGATTTTTATTAATATTTAAAGCTAAAAATGTTTCACAATTCATATTTTATAAAAATCTTTGAAAATCTATTACTTTTTTAATATCATTAGATTTAAAAAGAGTTTAAAAATCTCAATTGAATACATTCAGGTTTTGAATGCATTTTTAAAATCTTATTTGAATATATTCAGATTTTAAATAATGACTTTTCAAAATCTTAATTGAATATCTAATGACTTTTAAAATATAAAACAAATTCGTGGGAATCTTAATTGAATACACCCTTTAGTATTCAAAAAATTTTGTTTTAAAACATGTTCGGTACTTTTAAAATATTACGAGTATATTTTTTATTGTCTCTATTCTAAAACAATTTACAATTTGATATTTTTGGTCAAATTATGTAACACTGTATGGATAAATTGTAAAAAAATTAATAATAAAATAAATTTAGCAAAATTAAATTTATTTTAAAAAAAGTTTTGATATACCAAGTATTATTTTAACTTTTGTTCATTTTAAATTATATTTAATTTTTGATCAAAATATAACACAATTTGATAAGAAAAATCAAAATGTAACAATCTATTTAGAACATATAGGCTAATATATATTTTAGATAGAAAATATAGTTATTAATGGTTGAAACATTATATTAAATATTGTAAAAAATTAAGACAGAAAAAAATATTCCATATGAGAAGAAATAATTTTCTCTCTGTTTCTTATAGATCTTCTCGTATTGATTTGATTTTGTTTTAGAGATAGTTTAAAAAGAATAAAGTTTACTAAAATACCCTTAATGAAAATCATTAGAGTATACACTGACACACCGTATTAAATAAGATGAATGAAGTGTTATATATTTCGTATAAAGTAAGTGAGCTGGTAGTGATATTTTAAATGTTAAAAAAAGATAATGGAAAAACCTTTCCTAGACAAACAAAATAAACATATGAAAAGATCTATGACAGATGCACGAAGTATACTAAGTAAAAGACATATTTGTCATTTGGCTTTTTGAATGACTTTGATTAAATTTGACTAGTTTAGCTTATCAAAATAGTTAATCGTTTTCACATTTAAATCAATATGTATATATCTAGTTCGTTTTCGATAAATTTTTATATTTTATTATAAATTAAATCTTCATATCTCGGGTCCTTTTGATCTCAGTTTCGACTGATTGGGTTCGAATATCAATTTAGTCTTAACTACCCCAACTCTCACAGACTCACACGATATTAATTTAATACTCTGTATAATTTTTTTGACTCAAATAGAATAAATTTTAATCATCAATAATTTTTAATTTGCATTGCATATCAACACAGTTAAATAAAATTTTGAAAGCTTTACACTATTTAGATTTAATTAAATCCTTTTTATACTAAAATAAATTGTAATTTTTATTTAATTAAACATTAAAATTAGTCTAATTTGGCTCCCAAAAAAAATCAAAATGATGGAATTGAGTAGCCTAGTACCATAACAACAAATTGGAATTATCAGCTCTCCGTTGTTCTTGGCGTTCATTCGTTGATTTCATTCAATATTCAATCTTCCTTCGTCAAAGGCTTTTCGCTTTCCCTCTGCTGTGATTCTGTCCAATCTCATCCCCAAGCGCGCAATCCGCCATGCCTCCCGTTCCGCTGAAGGCGGTGACTCTCACGCACGTCCGGTACCGGAAGGGCGATCAACTGGGGCATTTCCTGGCCTGGATCTCGCTGGTCCCCGTCTTCATCAGCCTCGGCGGCTTCGTCTCCCACATCGTCTTCCGCCGCGAGCTCCAGGGCATCTTCTTCGCGTTCGGGTTGCTCATTTCGCAATTCGTTAACGAGATCATCAAGAAATCGGTCCAGCAGGCCCGACCCGACACCTGCGCCCTCCTCGAGATGTGCGATTCCCACGGATGGCCCTCCAGCCACTCCCAGTACATGTTCTTCTTCGCCGTTTACCTAACCCTACTCACCCGCAGGAGGCTAGGGTCCCTGTTTCGGTACCAAATGTGGGTCGTCCTCTTCCTGATCTGGCCGTTATCGCTTCTGACTCTCTATTCCAGGGTGTATCTAGGTTATCACACGGTGGCACAGGTGTTTGCCGGTGCGGCTCTTGGGGCAGTGCTCGGGGGCGCCTGGTTTTGGGTGGTCAATTCTCAAATCAAATGTCATTTCCCCGCTATGGAAGAGAGCACATTTGGGAGGTTCTTTTATGTGAAGGACACCTCGGATATCCCCAACGTATTGAAATTCGAATACGAGAATGCCAGAGCTGCTAGGAAGCATGTCTCCTACAAGCGCTCTGACTGATTCATGATTCTGTAAGTGGGACTTTTTGAATTATTTTGTAGTTTTATTTCTAATCCTCTGATAAATATATGTACATTAGTTGAATAACATGCAATTATGAATGCTAGTAGTCATCATCAAGGGTTCTTCCTCAGAAACATTAGCGTCGTATTCTTGTAAAACTCATAGCTCTGTAGAAATAAAATGTTAGCATTAAGAATTACTAAGATCTTAAGATCATACACAATTTTCTTTTAAGAACCATGATTTATGTGTGATTCATTTGGTAACTTGGAGATTTGAATCATAGTTTGATTCTTTTAAACAACTTCATTTTGTTTTTCTCTTAGCCTCGCCTATTATTCCCCAAGTTCCACTTGGGGGATCTTGTTGGGTGGTCCTTGGTGTTGTTTGCCTCATTGATTAACATAAGTGCTGTGTTTATGGAGTTGTATATAGTCGCTGATGTATTGTCCAACTTGATGAATCATGGTCTAGTAGAGCCAGACAAGTATTAGCAAGTCTTTTGTTTCTTGGTAGAGAAAGAAGAACGGAAAGAGTTGTTAATGGAATAATCAATTTTTTGCTCTGGCATTGTGATTCGTGTCATAATCTTTTCTTGTTACAATGCTACTGCATGTAACACAGAAGGATACCTGTAAATACTAGAGAGAAAAAACACAGGGATACTGACATATTTTTTCATTGTAGTCATGCATAAACTCTGCAATTTCTTGTTTGAAATGCTCTGGGTATATGTTTTCTTTTAAGTTAGATTACACATTTTCTTTACTTTGGAAAACAATCCTAAAACATGAATGAAACATTCAAAATAATTTAATTTTTTTTACGAAAAGAGTTTTATAATTTTTATATTCATGGAAATGACGTCTCAAATCATTTCTTTATGTATAGAAATGGTCCCCAAAGGCCAAACATATGGTCTGGAATTTTTTGGTTCCGGTAGGACTGATCTTGCATAATTTTTGTGTTTGAAATGTGTGTAAATTTTTCAGGTTTGGCATGCTTTGAGTCTTTGACTAATGTAAGAATAAGTAATAAAAAAAATAAAGGTAGCACCTAAAAGCTTACTTTTGTGTATGTGATTTATGCACAGACCTTGCTAGAGTACCTCCAAGTTTGCCCCATATTATTTTTCCTTCATACCAATGCTCACACACAAGCGGTTCCCAAACAAAAGCATGTTTTCGAGTCCTTGTCTGGGGTTGTTTGTTTGAAGGAAGGGGCAAGGTTGGGGTTCGTTTAGCACTTTTCATTACGTGCACACATTTTAAATACTTTGATATGTGCTATATCGTCCCCTTCCCTTGCATGCGTTCTTCATTCACGTGGAATTGTTGACAAGCTATTGTAATTTGTGATCTCTTTTCAGAACATCCCTTCACTCTCTTTCTTCCATTTCAGGGTTATTATAGTTCGGGTTCGAATATACGAAACAATCCATTGTTTGGCACTCTAGAAGAAGAAATGATGGAAAGAATTTCCCTCCACATTCTCACATACGTATTTTATGGCTTGTTCGACTCATCATATTCATGCAGTTTTACCTATTCTGGTAGGGCCATATTTTGATTTTGTTGAGAAAAACTTTAGATAAGAGGAACAATCCCTTCAACTTTTTTTTATACATGTATTATTTAAATTGTACGTTAGTTCTTTCTAATATATTACTCCGTATATATAGAATTTGCTTCGTTCACAAACCCAATTTCTTGATTGGTTTACTTGCTCGTGTTAGGGGCAAGCTTAGACAAATTGTTACCTTGTGTTTTTAAGAGGTTGCTTCTAAAACTCGAATTATAGTTACTTACACATCATAAATAACTTATGATACTTTGTTGATCTTAGTCAATTTATGAGTGCTTATTTGGTAGACCTAAAAATACACTTCTTTTTCTTTTTTCTTTTTTTTTTTTGTAAAATTGTTCCCATATATTTTTTAAGTTTTAAATTTCGTAAAAGAGAAATGGTTGTCATCTGTAGGTCAACATAAAAATTAAATGTGTGGATTTCATGTCCATAATTGTGTTTACCCAACTTTATACTACCTCCGTCCCATTTTATAACGTCTGTTTCGGTTTACGATGTTTGACTGAAATTATTTTTAAACCATTTTATATGACAAATGGTATAGAATTAAAAAATAAAAATTACATATTAAAAACTACATCAAAAGATCTACAAAACTAGTAGTGACAATAATATTTTATTTTATCAAATTGCTAACGAAAATAGAGAAAGAAAGTGAATGAAGTTTGACCTTGTGAATAGTAAACATGCATTATAATTTGGAACGGAGGGAGTACGAGATTATATAATTTGCGAGCTTGTATTTACCTTTAATTACGATGCAAATTATAATTTTTGTTGTAAGTTACTAGGTGATGGGTGTATTCCACCCACGACCGGTCAAAGGAAGAGACTAATTAGTTGACCGGTCAATCTCGAAAGTTTTGGAAGGGAGACTTGAATCGTCAGCAAAACGATATATAATCGGCCAAAAGGTGACCGGTATACTTCACGAAAAAGTATACCGGTCAAACTACTTTGTCCCCCTATTTCTCCCTAAACTTCGACGATTTCATCCCACGGAGATTACCCGGTGTAGTTTCTAGGGTTGGAAAGTGTCGGCAGAGGAGAATCTACAAGGGCTTGGCGTGTAGCGACTCATGTCAGTAGAGGACAACTGGAGATGCTGAAGAATCCATCCAAGGCACTACTCGACAAAGGGAATAATCTCCCTCACAAGGCGACAAGGCAGCCCGAGGACGAAACCAGTCACCTCGCACCACATCAGCATCGTGCCCCCACGTGGGCACACGTGGTCCTGTCCCCTAAGCCTAATATAAATACTCGTGTAAACCTCAGAAAGAGGGATCCGAATTCATTCTCTCTAAAACTCCCTTGTAAAAGCACCCGTGCATTCTCCGTTATAATATAAATTGGGCTACAGGTGTTCCACCTAAAGTCCTACCGGTCAATCTGCGTGTTTTTTACCTTTTTTACTTTGCCAAATCGAACAAACTATTCTAGACCCGGTCTAGTATAGTTTGACCGGTCAAGTAATTTACACCATCATTTTTGGCACCACCCGTGGGACCGTTAAGGTTTCTTCTCTTCTAAAACCTACCCACAAGAAAAGCACTCGAAATGTCTTCTAGCCAACAAATCAACGCTACCTCCACTCAGGTGCATGCCACCAACGAGGGTACCAGCATCCCTGCGGCTGCTACCATACCGGTCATTTCAGCCCCTGTGTTGCGTCTGGGCCTGAGCTCTGTCCCGACGGCCAGCGTGATCAGTCCCTTCGCGACCCCCGTCCCTTCCGCTGGACCGAGGGTCACGTTCCCACCAAGCATGACTCAGTTCATGAATGACCCAGCCAACCTACAAGCCATCCAGGGCTTCGGTCAGGTCATGGCCATGTGCCAGCAGAATGGGGGGATGCCTTTTCTCCCTGGTATGTTCCCGTTCGCTCTTCCAGGCGCGGGAACCATGCCCCTGCAAGCTCCAATGGCGGTGACGTCATTCCAGACGCCGATGCCGCAGCCACCACCTTTCCAGCCCCAGCTGGTCAGCACCATGACCCCTGTCAACTTGGCCGACGCACTTAACGCTGCAGGGCCGTCGCGTCCCCCGCAAGCTACGGATCCGCAGATCACTCCTGATGGTCATTGCGTCTCAATTGAGAGCGATGACGGCGAGTGGGACATCCCGAGGGCCCACAAGAAGAAGAAAGGAAAAAAACATCCGGCCAGCGACCTTCCGAAACTTCGCCTTCGAAAGGCTGGGGGATAGGGAGGAAGGCCAGAGGAAGTCAGCCAAGCAAAGGCTGGGGCAGAGCGTTGCCCATGTCAGCGCGTTCGCCCGGCTAGGCGAGGTGCGGGAGGCCGAGCCTGCCCGTACCCGGCGCTCCTGGTCTAACCGGCAGGAGCCAGCAAGGACGAGGGCCTCTCGTCAGGAAGAGGAAGCAGAGAGCCAGCCCAGGTTACCGGTGGCGAACCGGTTGACCATCCCAAATGACCGCGTCGAGCAGATGGAGGCAAAACTAGAAAGGCTGGAGAAGAAGGTCGGAGAGAAGATCGACCGGGACAAACCCTTGGCGGGGTCCCCGTTCACCACAAGGGTCCATCTGAAACCTTTCCCGCGAAAGGTCAAGATCGACGCCCCCAGATTCACCGGGAAGGAAGATCCGGAAATCCATCTGGATTCCTTCAACCAGAGTGCGACCATGAACGGTTGCACCGAGGAAGAAAAGTGCCTTCTTTTCTTCCAGACCTTGCGGAACCGAGCCACTGAATGGTTCAATAAGCTTCGCCCGGGAAGCATTGATTCGTTCAGTGATTTGGCCTCAATGTTCAAGGCCAAGTTCCAGGAGAATTGTACTAAGAGGAAGAAATTCACCTATCTTAGTACAGCCGGGCAGAGGGAGTCTGAGAACCTTACTCAGTTCCTTACCCGGTGGAAGGAAGAGGTAGACAAGGTGGAAGAGATGGATGACAAGACCGTCTTATCCCTCCTCTTGAATGGCTTGCGTGCTAGGGAACTATACAAGGAGTTCTGCCAGAAACCCCCAGCCACGTATCAAGAGGCCTACCACACCGCATGGGAGTTTGCTGAGGCTGAAACCCAGCTCCGGGCAAAAAGAGAAGCTGAGCATGGTCACAAGCCCAGGCCGGTGCAAGTCAAGAAGGAAGAAGCACCGGGACCTAGCCGGCCGAGGCACCACTATGACCCGGTCATCCGAGTGGTCAATATGGAAGAATGCCAAGAAGTCCGGAAAGCACCGGTCATTCCTCCAGAAAACCCTACCGGTCAAGTAGGGCGGCAGTGGTCAGGCACCTATTGTTCGTACCACAGGCCAGATTCCCATAACACCTCCGAATGCAAAAGTGTTAAGGGGGTCATCCGGCAGATGATCGACAGTGGAGAGCTGGGCAAAGATTACTTGCAGAAAGCCCAGGAGAAGAGTCATCAATGGGTTAGGCCGAGTGCCCCAGAGGATGACCGGGACAACGACCGGCGGAGGAATAACCGGCCAAGGGAGCGGAAACCTGCTCCCGAAAAAGAGCACATCGGCATGATCTTTGGCGGACCCGAGGGTGGAGATTCAGCCGCGCAGCAGAAGAACTGGGTCCGGAGCATTTACGTTGGAGAGGTAAGTGCTGAACCGCCCAGGCGTAAACATACTAGGAGGGAGCCTATCTTCTTTACTGACCGGGATCTCCCTCCTACCGGTGAAGATCACAATGATCCATTGGTCATCACCATGGACATTAATGGGGTGGATGTCGCCCGGGTACTTGTTGACACCGGCAGTAGTGTCAACATCTTATACCTGGAGACCTTCCAAAAACTCAGGTTGTGTCGAACACAACTTGAACCCCTTAAAACCCCTCTCTCAGGCTTCACGGGGGACACCGTTGAAGCTGAAGGATCCATAGTTCTACCGGTCGAACTAGGATCAGGTGAAAAGACCGTGTGGAAGAAGATGCGGTTCATAGTTGTGGACATCAAATGCGTCCACAACACAATTCTTGGAAGGCCAGGCATCAATAGAGTAGGGGCGGTGATTTCCATGCCTCATCTATGCAGGAAGTTCCACACTCCAGGTGGTGTGGGTGAGGTGAAGGGTGACCAGAGGAACGCCCGGGAGTGCTATGCCTGGGCAGTCAAGAAAATGACCAAGGGGGTCAATGTCATCTCCCAAGAGATCACAAAGGGAGAGACTCGGGAGAAATTGGAGCCCGAGGCCGAGACGGTGGAAATTGAACTTCACCCGGGTGATTCTTCGAGGGTGGTCAGAATTGGAGCAAATCTCCCCGAGGATCTTAAGGCACAGATTACACGGGTCCTCCAAGAATACGCGGGCATATTCGCATGGAGCGTGGCGGATATGCCCAGGATAGATTGCTCTGTTATCTGCCATCGGTTGGCCGTGAGGGAGGGAAGTCGACCGGTACGATAGAAGAAGCGGTACCTGGCCAGTGACCGGCGAGAGTTCGTCAAGAAGGAAGTGAAGGACCTCCTTAGTGTTGGTCACATCTGGGAAGTCAAATACCTGGATTGGTTGGCCAACGTTGTCCTTGCTCCCAAGGGCGACACATGGAGAATGTGTGTGGATTATACGGACTTGATCAAGGCTTGTCCGATGGATTCATACCCCCTTCCCAGTCCAGATCAAATGGTGGATGAAACTACGGGGTGCGAACTCCTAAGTTTCATGGATGCCTTCAAGGGTTATCACCAAATCTACATGGCCAAGGAAGATGAAGAGAAGACGTCATTCCTCACACCCAAAGGAACCTACTGTTACTGGGTAATGGCGTTTGGCTTGAAGAACTCGGGGGCAACCCACCAGCGCATAGTGAACAAACTCTTCAAGCCACTACTGGGAAAGACCATGTAGGCATATGTCGACGACATGCTGATCAAAAGCCAGGTATCTCTGAACCACCCGGCTGATATGCGAGCCACGTTCGATATCATGGCAAGGTACAACCTCCAGCTGAATCCTAAGAAATGCGTCTTCGCGGTTCGTACCGAGAAGTTCTTGAGATTCATGGTGACCAAGAGAGAAATAGAGCCCAACCCAAAAAATATTCGGGCTATCACTGAAATGCAAGCCCCTACCTCCGTTAGGAATGTTCAAAAGTTGACCGGTCGTTTAGCGGCCCTCAGCCAGTTCCTTTCCCGGTCAGCTGAGAGATCCCTGCCCTTCTTCAAAGTTCTGAAGAAGGCCAACACATTCGCATGGGACGAAGAATGCCGGAGGGCATTCAAGGAGCTGAAAGAGTACCTAGCGTCGGATATTGTATTGTCTAAACCCGAACCGGGTGAAACTCTGTATCTGTACCTGGGAATTTCCCCAAATGCTGTAAGCTCCGTTTTAATAAGAGATGATGGGGCGCAAAAGCCCATTTATTATGTGAGCAAAGCATTAAACGGGGCTGAGAGTAGATATACGGCGATGGAAAAGACAGCATATGCGCTTTTCATCTCCGCAAAAAAGTTAACATCCTACTTCCAAGCTCACCCGGTGGAAGTCTTGACTGACCAACCGCTGGGTGCAGTGCTGCGAAATTCAACATCCTCCGGGAGGATGGTGAAGTGGGCGATGATGTTAACTCAATTCAACATTGAATACCGGCCAAGGTCAGCAATCAAGGGACAAGCCCTTGCTGACTTCTTGGTAGAAATGATCGGTCTAACTCCAGACCTACCGGTCGACAAGCCCATTGAGCAATGGTGGGAGATGGCAGTTGATGGGGCATCTGGTCCTAGAGGATACAGGGGAGGTATCGTGTTCACCACCCCAGAAGGGTTCAAGATCTACCATGCAATCGTCTTCAACTTCAAGCTGACGAACAATGAGGCAGTGTATGAAGCTCTGGCTAGAGGGCTCAGACTTGCCCAAGCCCTGAAAATCAGCCGGGTCAGTATCAAATCTGACTCTAGCCTGATAGTTGGGCAGGTGACCGGTAACATGGAAGCAAGGGAAGGACGCATGGCACAATACAAGGACCTTGTACTTGCCCTGTTGAAAGGCTTCGAAGAGTTCAAGATCGCCCGAATCCCCCGGGCGGAAAACGCGGATGCAGACCTTCTCTCCAAATTGACGTAGTATGCTCCCGAGCACGTTTCAAAACTTGCCCGGGTAGAGATTCTTGACCGTGCAAGCATCGAAAAATTGGAAGTCGCCGCTATAACGGCCGGTAGCCAATTTGACCGGTCAAACTTGGTCGGGGCGGACGACCATTGGATGTATGATCTAATGGAATATTTAATGGATGGGAGCTTGCCAGAACAAGATGACCGGGCAAGAAAAGTGAAGCTCAGGGCACCCCGATTCCAGGTTCTTGATGGAAAGCTGTATAAAAGGGCATTTGGGGGGCCACTCCTGAGATGTCTAACCAACCGGCAGGCTGAGCGAGTCATAGCGGAGGTCCACGAAGGCGTATGCGCGGCGCATCAAATGTCCCGTACGCTTTCCCAACGCATCATCTTGTTGGGGTATTACTGGCCAACAATTCTACAGGATTGTGAAAGGTACGTCCAGAAATGCAGGACGTGCCAAGTATTCTACAAGTATCCTGGTAGGCCGGCGACCTACTACCACCCCGTATCGAATGTCATCCCGTTCGCTAGATTCGGGGTTGATATCATTGGAGCCTTTCCGATCGCCCAAGGAGGGAAGAAGTTCGTAATCGTAGCCATCGATTACTTCACCAAATGGATCGAGGCCGAAGCGTTGGCCAACATTACCACGCAACAATGCAAGAAATTCATTTGGAAGAACATCATTACGAGGTTTGGAGCGCCCATGAACCTCATCACCGACAACGGCCCACAATTCCGAAATCCAAGATTCACCGAATACTTGGAGGGCTTCGGAATCAAGCACAATCGCTCCTCGGTAGCGTACCCCCAAGGGAATGGCCAAGTCGAAAACGCCAACCGAACAATTGTAGATGGTTTGAAGAAACGGTTGGGAGAAGCAGGAAACAAATGGCTAGAGGAGCTCCCACACATCATATGGGCATTCCGAGTAACACCCAGGAGGGCTCATGGGGAAACTCCATTCTTCCTAACCTATGGGTGTGAAGCAAGGCTGCCCATCGAAGCTGAATTCCCCATGTTTCGGGAGTCAAATTATCAACCCCAGCAGAATGAGGAAGACCACTTGGCCGAGCTCAACTTGGTCGAAGAACGAAGAATGGCCGCGGAGGTTAAAATGAGTACATACCAACAAGTTGTGAAGAAGTACCACGACAACAATGTTGGGCCTCGGTACTTCCAAGTTGGAGATGAAGTCCTACGAAGAAGGGAAGCAAGTAGACCCGGCGATGGAGGAAAGCTGGCAAAAAACTGGGAAGGCCCATACAGGGTTAGAGCCATCATTCGACCAGGAACGTATCGATTAGAAACTTTAGATGGTGTACCGGTAGAAAGAACTTGGAATTACCACCATCTTCGCAAGTTCTACAAATGATTGTAATACTAGGCGAGGCCTAACCACATTATCAATCAAAGTGATGTTCAGTACTCTACTTGGTAGCAGCAGAATTGATAGGTCGAACCTATCCTAGGAGGGCTTCCTAGGTGGATCGAATCCACTTGGATAAGCCAACTGAGACACAGGCCCGGACCTGGCACGCTGGTTACTACACCGGTCTTGCTCAGTATAATAGAAAAAATATTAAAACCCGGAAGAGGGGCCCGGAAGAGGGTATGCCTGCAAGAGGGCTGGACCTGGAAGAAGGTTCGAACCGTACTTACACGGGCCCATGAGATTTGACTGGTGTCGGGGAATCAGCCGGCGCCGTCAAATTGATTGGGGACTTAAAGATGCCCATTAAAAGAAATAGAAGGGAATCGTCCACCGCGGCGCATCCTGTTTCCCCTTTCTCAGAGAAGACTTGAACGGGGGGGTGAGCTAAGGCCTCCCCAGGATGGTAGAAATCAAAGGGCCATCAAAAGACTTAATCACCCGGAAGAGGGGGCCCTAGAAGAAGGGTGCATTTGAACCTTGGAGAGGGTTCGAAACCATTCGACATGGTTAAATCTCCAGTATTCTTACCGGTTAAGGATACTTCAAGAATTACTAGGTTACAGGTGTTTCCATCTACAACCCACCGGTCAAGTAAAAAAAAAAGGAATACCCCGGTTGGGTATGGGCACAGCAGAACTTCGAAAGTTCTGCACCCATCGAAAGGCAAGGCAGTTGACTGGTCAAACCATGGAGTGGGAATCCACCGGTCAAAGTAAACTTTACCAAAGAATTTGTGAAGCTATCCAAAAGGCCAAAGTAAAGTTCGGCCGGTCAAACTTTTTAAGTTGGCCACCATGATGAAGACGTTCGAAAAGCAAAAACTGAAGTTTAACTGGTCAAAGTTACTCGAGTTAATTCTTCAGATAAAGAGATCAAAGAGAACTTTGAAGTTCTCCCGGTCAGAAACAATTGAGAAGTGGCCTGATTTATGTACCGGTCTGAATTTCTATGATGGTATTCTAAGAAGCAAAAGCAAAGTATAAATCAACAAGCAAGCAGATATGGAAGATTAATCGGTAAGGAAATTAAACATGGCATTCAAACGGAACAAGCATGTTAAATGTTTACAGATACACCGGGCATTCCCGGGGAAAAAGAAGTTTCATGTATACAAAGCAACCGGTCAAGGCCGGGGAGTTCTTAATCCAGGGGAAAGGGGGAGTAGGCTCTTCTTCTGCGATTGGAGCCAGGCCGTAGGATGCCGCGCTGAAGCTCGGGTCTCTTCTAAGCAGTACCTGGTGAGAGGCGATCCGGTATTTCTTTTGTCCGCTCTTGCATCCGAAGGATCCAATCGCGGTAATCATTTTCCTTCCTTCAGGCTCCCGGTACAGAAGCCTGAAGGACTCCATCGCGGTCTCTGGCGTTGCCGTCATCACCCGGGCAGCAGTGGCCTTGTTCTCTTCAACCCATGCGACAGCGCGCCCGGGGAAGGCTTCTTCCTTCTCCGCTGCTTCCCTCTGGGCCTCAGAGACTTCATCCATGAGCCGGCCATTCTCCTCTTTCAGCTGGGAGATCTCGGTCTTCATGGCCCCGGCTAGCCCAGACAGCCTGATCAGCTCATCAGCCTGGCTCTTCAAGATAAGGGCCATCTCTTCTTTCTCCCTCTTCAGCCGGTCGACTTCAGAAGGGGAACTCATCCCCAACCGGTCCACTGTGTGCGGCTCAATCTCCCCCGCCTGCACAACAACGAAACATACCGGTAAGTTTCTCAATAGAGGAAAAAGAAAATAAAGACCGGGATAGCGGCAGGACTTACCTCCTTCAGCCTCAGCCCCAGGTTGATGAAGGCCTCTTCGATGGTCTGACCGGCCGGCTCAGAATCCGGCCTTGCCCTCTTCTTAGCATAAGAAGGGTGCGTGGTGGCGACCTTCTTCGTTCGCCGACCGGTCTTTTCCTTTTCCTTCCCCTTAGACCGGTTGTCTTGGGGCTCGTCTTCATCAAGGATTTCCACGCTCTCTGGATTGACCGGGAAGGTCCTGGCAGTGTTGGCTTGGGAGCCCCCGGTCTCCCCTGCTGGTTGGTCGTCGGGGATGGCGAACTCTTCGAACTCCATATCTGCAAAAGGAACTAAAACCGTTAAGTACAAGTAGTTTGGCCGGTCAACTACGAATCACAAGAAAAATGAGAAATACCTGGGTGGTTTTTGCCCTCAGCCTCTGCAGTGTTGCCCGGGGAGGGTACCCCGCGCCCCGCTGCTTCATGGGCCTGGGAGGTACCCTCACCACCCGACTCGACCCTCCAGACCCAGCTGCCGTAGTGGAAGACCCTCCCGGTGTATGGATCGCCGCGCATAAGGACCTCAAGACTTGCTTCCAAGTCAGGGGAGGAAGCCGGTGCAGCGTACTCTTGGTCGAGGAGATGGTCGTTCCATTTGAGACCGGCGAAAGGGGTGACGAATGGGGGAAACTCAATGAAAACAAATTTTTCCTTCCATCCCCGGTTACTTTGGGGGACTTCAAAGATGAACTTCCTACCGGTACGGGCTTTGAAGAATACAAAACCTTCGCAGCCAGTCCCGCCCGGTAGGACTTCAAAGCAAAAAAGGAAGAGACGCAAGGAGGGGAAGATTTTCAGATGGGTACAAATATTTACAAAGGAATGGAGATACCGGTGGGCGTTGGGAGTTATTTGGCCGGGCAAAATCCTAAACGCTTGGCAGACTTCGGTAAGGAGGGGGCGAAGGGGAAAGACTATGCCCGCATCCAGTGATATGGTGTGGAATCCTATCCTATCCTCCCGGTGGGGTTCAACAATGTTGGGCCAGTTAGGTTCATACAGGAGGGTATACCCATCCGGGAGCCTCCTACGAATTTTGTTTAAGGCAATTTTGGATACACGGGAAGGGATGTCAAGAACGTAGAAGGTGGGGAGCGGAAAGTAACCGGCGGCATGAATCCGCTCCTCCCACGCATCCCGGGTTTCGTGTTCAGGGTCATAGGGATCTGGCTCGTCATCGACCGGGTCATCCCTCCCCACGAAAGTTTCACCGGGCATCTGGTTAACAGGATGCGGGTCAGGAATAGAGGAGTTGGGAACCTGACCGGGCGTGGATTCAGGAGAAGAAGACCCGGTCGAGGAAGATGAGTTGGAGTCCTCAGAGGAGCAGTCCTCTGAGGACGAGGTCCTATCGCTAAGAGAAGACATGGCCGGGAAAGAAAAAAGAGAAGGAAGGGGGAACTAACTTGACTCGGAGGGCTGGATAGCGAAGAGAAGGAACTTGACCGACCGGTGAAAGCCATGAGACTTGATCGCGGAAAGTGAACAAAAAAGAGGGGTGGAGGCCCTTATATAGGAAGAGGAGGGCTGAAAGAAGTGACGTGGCCTCTCCAGGTTGCGCCGCGTCAGGCGGCGCAATGATGACCCACTGGCAGGCGAAACGACGGGTCTGCAGCCGACTGATTGCAACGGTTGATGCACGACACGTGGCAAAAGTCAGAGTTTGAAATTCAAATTTCAAAAATTTTAGGCGGGAAGGGCCAAAATTTCAAAATTGGAGTCCTATTTCAGACTTTTTACTTCCCGCTCATGACAAATTGCATGACAAAGAAGTGGAGGGCTTATTGATGGGTGTATTCCACCCACGACCGGTCAAAGGAAGAGACCAATTAGTTGACCGGTCAATCTCGAAAGTTTTGGAAGGGAGACTTGAATCGTCAGCAAAAAGATATATAATCGGCCAAAAGGTGACCGGTATACTTCACGAAAAAGTATACCGGTCAAACTACTTTGTCCCCCTATTTCTCCCTAAACTTCGACGATTTCATCCCACGGAGATTACCCGGTGTAGTTTCTAGGGTTGGAAAGTGTCGGCAGAGGAGAATCTACAAGGGCTTGGCGTGTAGCGACTCGTGTCAGTAGAGGACAACTAGAGATGCTGAAGAATCCATCCAAGGCACTACTCGACAAAGGGAATAATCTCCCTCACAAGGCGACAAGGCAGCCCGAGGACGAAACCAGTCACCTCGCACCACATCAGCATCGTGCCCCCACGTGGGCACACGTGGTCCTGTCCCCTAAGCCTAGTATAAATACTCGTGTAAACCTCAGAAAGAGGGATCCGAATTCATTCTATCTAAAACTCCCTTGTAAAAGCACCCGTGCATTCTCCGTTATAATATAAATTGGGCTACAGGTGTTCCACCTAAAGTCCTACCGGTCAATCTGCGTGTTTTTTACCTTTTTTACTTTGCCAAATCGAACAAACTATTCTAGTCCCGGTCTAGTATAGCTTGACCGGTCAAGTAATTTACACCATCACTAGGTATATACGGCAAAATTATTAGAAACACATTTTATAACATTGAAAAAATATTACGGAGTAGTATTATTAATCAGAAAATCAACAAAATGTAGTTCCTATCCTATCACTTACTCCCTCTGTCTCATTTTAAATTGTCTGTGATGGATTAGGGATTTTACCTAATTTAAAATTTTTTGAATAGCACAAGTAAGCCCAATTCAGTCCGGCCCAAGACACAAATCAGATAAATTATTCAAGACGGAGTTAGAGATATAAGACGAAGAAGATAATTTGATGAGATGTAAGAATATTAATAAGGGCCCAAGGACATATATTTGGGGGTCCCAAGCATATTATCTTGTCTTCTACTGCTTCACCCCTTCCTTCCATTATAAAAAGAAGTTATGAAGAGGAAGAGGGAGAGACCAAAAAAGGAGGATGCCAAATTCATATAAGCTCTTACTATATTTTCATTATTTATTCTCTTTAAGCTTGGAGCTCCATAAATGCCTCTAAGCTCCTACAATGATGTATATGTAAATTCCTCCGAGATTAATAAAAGTTCCTCTCCTTTGGCATGACAGCGCCTAAAAAGGCCCGTGGTTTTCTCCCGATTTGGGTTTCCACGTATAAATATTTTCTCTCTGCTTTATTTATTTATTTATTTTCCAGATTTTGCTATTCGTTGCAGTGCCGACCCGGTACCAAGTTTGTCGGGTCGACGCCCCGAAAAAGCGATTTCCATCACTGGCGCCATCCGTGGGGCCCGGTCACGAAAAACTTTTGTGCTCCGAATACATAATGGAGAGAAAAGGTGAGAGAGAAAGTAAAAAAAATAAGTGAAAAAGGGGACGGGAACAAAAAGAAGGGAGAGAGTGTGGTTAAAGAGAAAAGAAAAAAAGGAAAAAAAAGAAGAGATATAGAGAGGGAAGAAAAGTCAAAAGAAAAAAATGATGAGAGCCTTTCATCCGTAGCAGCAGAAACCAGAAACCACCAGCAGCAAATCAGAAACCAGAAACCAGCAGCACCAGATTGGGCAGAGCCTTTCGTCCGTAGATCCATCCCCGGAGCTCCCCCTTCCTTCGGCGAGCCATAGGCAGCGGCAACGAGCTCCCACTACCTCCGGCGAGCCATGGACGGCAGTGGCGGGCCTCCGATGAACTCCTCCTTCCTCCGGCGAGCCACGGACAGCAGCGGCGGTTCTCTCCGGCGGTCCTTGATACTCAAGGTATCCCAGAGCGGCGGCAAGGAGGGTGGCGGCCAAGTTTCCAGCCGACAGAGGTGGCAAGGGAGAAGGGAGTTATTTAGGGTTTTAGAGAAAGAGAAGAAATAGGGAAAGATACGTGTATTATTGATAATTCCATGCGTAAGGGTGTAATCCCTTATATAGAAGAATTCCCCAAACCTAAATTACTAATTATCTATCCTGTCGGTTCAAGAAAAGCGACGAGGTAAAGAACCGAAAAGAAACCCTCGAAGGAGCTTATAATTCGCTCACCTAGAAAAATCTATTACATTAATGAAATAAAAAAGAATACTAAAAATATTAAACGTAATCTTCGAAACGGCGAGGGCGCCCAACATTCCGTCGTGGTCGTCTAACCCTNGCCAGAAACCTTCCAATGTTATACTTTCTACCAGTCTTGCCTCTCCCTTGCTTTGTGGGGAGCGGAGGTTTAGACTTGTTTGATGTCTAGCCCTTCCCCTTCCCCTTCCTCGAGCTGGAGGACGCTTCGCCTTTTTCTGTTAAAGTGATACTCGAGGTATCCAAGAGCGGCGGCAAGGAGGGTGGCGGCCAAGTTTCCAGCCGACAGAGGTGGCAAGGGAGAAGGGAGTTATTTAGGGTTTTAGAGAAAGAGAAGAAATAGGGAAAGATACGTGTATTATTGATAATTCCATGCGTAAGGGTGTAATCCCTTATATAGAAGAATTCCCCAAACCTAAATTACTAATTATCTATCCTGTCGGTTCAAGAAAAGCGACGAGGTAAAGAACCGAAAAGAAACCCTCGAAGGAGCTTATAATTCGCTCACCTAGAAAAATCTATTACATTAATGAAATAAAAAAGAATACTAAAAATATTAAACGTAATCTTCGAAACGGCGAGGGCGCCCAACATTCCGTCGTGGTCGTCTAACCCTCGGATCCCCTTCATGGTCTACGTCCGCATGGCCCGTACCATTTGCATGGCCCGTATCAACTCCCCCCGGGTTAGGCACGACCTTGTCCACAAGGCGAAGATCCGGATACTTGTCCAACAACTCAACAACAGGCTCCCATGTAGCATCATTGTTCGTGCCATCCGACCAACGGATGAGCCATTGCTCCTGTGGTTGGCCATCCACCAAGACTGTGCGGCTGTCCAGTCCCACAACATGCAAGGATACTGGGCGGCCCTTGAAGAAACAATCAGGCAAGGAGGGTGTAGGCGAGCTGCCCGGGCGTGTGAGAAAGGGACGGAGTAGTGACACATGAAACACATCGTGTATCTTGCATCCGTCTGGCAAACGTAGGCGATAGGCCACAGCTCCCACTCGTTCCAACACCTCAAAGGGACCATAATATCGTTGAGCAAGCTTGGCAGACAAGGGGCAAGGCATCGAGTGTTGGCGGTACGGCCGGAGTTTGAGGAGCACCATGTCCCCAACCGCAAAGGAAACATCTCGTCTGTGTTGATTAGCTTGAGAACGCATACGGTGTTGCATCTTTGTCAAATGAGCTTTCAAATCAGTGAGCAAATCAGCGCGCTCGCGTAACAACTCCTCAACCGCCGGTACTCGAGCGCGGACTGATAAAGTGGGAAATAACGACGGAGGGGCCCGTCCATAAAGCGCCTGGAAGGGAGATACGCCCAGCCCCTCGTGTTGGCTGCAGTTTAAGGCAAGCTCTGCCCATGGTAGAAAACTCGTCCACTTGGTCGGTCGCTCATATGTGAAAGCCCTGAGGTATTGTTCGAGGCTACGGTTAAGGACTTCCGTTTGACCATCGGACTGGGGGTGGTAGGCGGTTGAAAACTTGAGAGAAGAACCGCTTAACCGCATCAACTCTTTCCAAAATAAGCTCATGAAAACTGAGTCTTTGTCCGAAATAACGGAGCGAGGAAAGCCGTGATGTTTGACCACGACATCGGTGAAGAGGCGGGCAACCCGTGGGGAATCAAAACCAGCGGCTAAGGCACCAAAATGAGAGTATTTGCTCAATCTGTCGACCACAACCATGATGACAGTGAACCCCTGGGACGGCGGTAAACCTGTGATAAAATCCATTGAAGCCGATTCCCACACTTGGTCAAGTATTGGTAGCGGTTGAAGGAGCCCGGCGGGGTGTTGGGTGGAGTATTTCGTGGCTTGACATACGGCACATGAAGCTACGAACTGCCGCACATCCCACCGCATCGACGGCCAATAAAACACCTGCGCCAAGCGGCGAAAAGTTCGTTCGACTCCCTGGTGGCCGGTGAGCGGAGTAGCATGGAACTCATGGAGGAGCTGGTCGCGGAGCTTTGAGGACGAGCTGAGATACAAGCGATGGCCATGGTAAAGGAGGCCATTATGGATAGAAATTGCAGAAGAGGCAGTGCCGTCCCTAACCGAGGAGTGGAGCTGGATGAGGTCAGGGAGAGTAGAATTCTCTTCTAAGAGAGCCCTGAGGAGGGTTGGCAGGGGCTGAGCATAGGCCATAAATAGACCAGCCATATCACTATCCTCGTCACGTCGAGATAAGGCATCGGCGGCGCGGTTGGAGACTTCCGATTTATATTCAATCCGGAACTTGAACCCCATGAGCTTGCGAATATAAAATTGTTGATCCGGTGTTTGCACAACTTGTAATAACAGCTCCTTAAGGCTCCGTTGGTCAGTCCGAATGACGAATTCGCGGCCCAATAGGTATTGTCGCCATTTCTGGACCGCCTCTACAATAACATACAACTCTTTATGATACGTGGACGATGCCCGCCGGCGCGGACCCAACTTTTTACTAAAGAAAGCCAGCGGATGCCCTTGTTGCATGAGGACAGCCTCAATACCCGACGTAGAAGCATCAGTTTCCACAACAAAAATCTGGGTAAAATCAGGCAGGCGTAACACCGGCGCGGTTGTCATGGCACGTTTGAGGTTAGCGAAGCTCTCCTCTGTCAACAGAGTCCACTTAAAGCTGTCCTTCTTGAGTAGTTCGGTCATAGGAGCGGCTAACATCGCATATCCGGCGATGAAACGGCGATAATACCCCGTGAGGCCAAGGAACCCCCTCAATTGTTTAAGGGTAGCCGGTTTGGGCTAGTGAACCATGGCGTCAATCTTGCTTGGGTCCGGGTGTAATTCGCCGGCGGCTAGGATATGGCCGAGATAATCAATAGATGCCCTGCCAAATGAACATTTACTGAGTTTGACATAAAAAGAACTAGACTGAAGAGTACCCAACACAGTCCGAAGATGAGCGGCATGGTCGTCCACTGATGCACTATACACCAAAATATCATCAAAAAACACAATGACAAATTTCCGCAAATATTCTCGAAAAAGGTTGTTCATTGCCGATTGAAATGTGGACGGAGCATTAGTGAGGCCAAACGGCATGACCAAAAACTCGTAGTGCCCGTCATGAAGGCGGAATGCCGTTTCGAAAATGTCACCGTCAGACATACGGATTTGGTGGTAGCCAGCGCGCAAATCGAGTTTGGAGAACACCCGAGCATGGCCCAATTCATCGAATAGTTCGTCCGTGGTGGGTATCGGGTAATGATCTGGTACCGTAGCGGCATTCAATGCTTTGTAGTCGACGCAAAAAAGATACGTGCCGTCCTTCTTACGAACCAAGAGAACCGGAGAGGAATAGGGGCTGTGGCTATGTCGAATCAGCCCCTGGTCCAACATCTCCCTGACTTGGCGCTCAATTTCTGTCTTCTGGAAGTACGGGTAGCGGTAGGGGCGCACATTGACGGGCTTGGCAGTGGTGTCTAGGTGAATTCTGTGATCCCAAGGTCGGGAGGGCGGCAACCCTTGCGGCAACCCGAAGACACCCGAATGGGCCAGCAACACGGCTCGAATAGGCTCGGGGACGTCGTCCGGCAAAGCAATTGGGCCAGCGGAATCCTGCCTAAGAGGGGTTTCTGCCAGCATCAATTCGTACATATCCCACCCGTCCGGCGCCGCGGCTAATCTGCAAAATTGGCTATAGGAGACGGGACGTGGGTGAGGGGCGTCCCCGCGCAGGAGTACCGGACTGCCCTTCCAGGTAAACTCCATGGTTAACTGTGAATAATCATGTGACACCGTGCCGAGGGTCTGCAGCCATTGTACACCCAAGACGATGTCGGGTCCGTGTATTTCAAGAATGTACAAATCCACGTCGAATCGATGACCTTGCAAGCATAACGGCGTTTGGGGGCAGGAATAGGCACATCGTAGCGAGTCTCCATTGCCGACATATACCCGAAACGGTGGCACGGGGTGAAGTGTTAACGCGAGGCGCTCGGCCACTGCGGGATGAACAAAGTTGTGTGTGCTCCCCCCATCTAGGAGCACCTGTACCGCCATCTCTTTAACAGACCCGGCTAACTTGAGCGAACGTGGACTGGGACTACCCGCTAGTGAGTGGAGACTAGAGACGTCCCCCGAAATTACAGCAAGCTCTTGGTCGCTGTCCACCAGATCCATCACGTCAAGGGGATTTACATCGTCATCAGGTCCCATAAATACCAAGAACCGATGCTTACAGTGGTGGCCTCGTATCCACTTCTCGTCGCAATACCAACATAAGCCCTTCTTGTTACGTTCTGCTTTTTCAGCATTTGTCAAGCGGACAATTGGCAAATTTGAAGGGGAAGCAGAGGGCCGTGGGGCTGGTGAGGGAAGCTTCGGGGCAGCAGGTGGGGTAGGCAACAGTCCGGCAGTGGCAGTGGAGGGTGGCCGCTGCGGCCAAGGACGTCGGGCCCTGGATGAGTAAGTGACCGCAGCCTCCTGGTGACAAGCCGATAATTCACGTGCCAACGCGAATGTAGCCGGGAGGGTGCTAGGGTTCCAAAGATTAACCTCTCGTTGCACCGGTTGTTTAAGTCCCGCAATATACATGGCGACCAGTGTGGACTCGGGGACTCCCGAAACCTTGTTGAGAATCGATTCAAAGGCGGACTGATACTCCATAACCGAAGAGGACTGCGTGAGCTTGGACAACAACCCTACATAGTTCTCATAGTAATTGGGATCAAACCGTTGCTGCACAGCGTCAAGAAATTCGGGCCAAGTCGTCGAAGGGCTGTTCGCCTGATAATAATGGAACTATTCAGACGCCGGGTGGTCGATCAACATGGCCACGAGTTGCATACGTTCAGGTTCGGCCGTCAAGAAATAATCGAAGTATTTTTGGACACGAAATATCCAACCCGGTCATCCCCGAAAAATCGTGGTGCATCAACTCGCATGCGAGGGGCAGGATCTAAGGTCGGTGGTGTGGTGCGTGACGGTGGCGGCCGCCATCCAGGATGATAAGGACCCCCAGGCCGGCGATTGTCATCCATGTGTGGCATCCTGGCGGTTGCCAATTCCGCAACCCGGAGTTTGGTGGCGTTCAAATCTTGTCTGAGGTTGTTGATGGCGTGCATAATATCCTCCAAGGTCAAGGACGTAGGGGTGGGCTCGGACGATGACATCGGAGCGTTTGTGAGATCAACAATGAAAGCACCAGTTGATACTCGAGGTATCCCAGAGCGGCGGCAAGGAGGGTGGCGGCCAAGTTTCCAGCCGACAGAGGTGGCAAGGGAGAAGGGAGTTATTTAGGGTTTTAGAGAGAGAGAGAAGAAATAGGGGAAGATACGTGTATTATTGATAATTCCATGCGTAAGGGTGTAATCCCTTATATAGAAGAATTCCCCAAACCTAAATTACTAATTATCTATCCTGTCGGTTCAAGAAAAGCGACGAGGTAAAGAACCGAAAAGAAACCCTCGAAGGAGCTTATAATTCGCTCACCTAGAAAAATCTATTACATTAATGAAATAAAAAAGAATAATAAAAATATTAAACGTAATCTTCGAAACNGTTTTAGAGAGAGAGAGAAGAAATAGGGGAAGATACGTGTATTATTGATAATTCCATGCGTAAGGGTGTAATCCCTTATATAGAAGAATTCCCCAAACCTAAATTACTAATTATCTATCCTGTCGGTTCAAGAAAAGCGACGAGGTAAAGAACCGAAAAGAAACCCTCGAAGGAGCTTATAATTCGCTCACCTAGAAAAATCTATTACATTAATGAAATAAAAAAGAATAATAAAAATATTAAACGTAATCTTCGAAACGGCGAGGGCGCCCAACATTCCGTCGTGGTCGTCTAACCCTAGGATCCCCTTCATGGTCTACGTCCGCATGGCCCGTACCATTTGCATGGCCTGTATCAGTCCTCTTCGCGGTCCTCCCCGCGGCCCTCTCCGCGGTCCTCCCCGGCGGTCCTCTTCGCGGTCCTCTCATGCGGTCCTCTCCGGCGGTCCTCTCATGCGGTCCTCTCCGCTGTCCTCTTTCGCGGTCCTCTTCAGCGAGCCATGGACGGATCTAGCCTCAAGAGAACCGCTCCAGTTTCATAGGTCCCTCAAATGGACGGCGCCAGCCTCAAGTGGACCATTCCAACTTCTGGGATCCATCCAGTGGAAGGATTTAGCATCAAGAGGACCGCTCCAGTTTCATGGGTCCCTCAAATGGACAGATCTAGCCTCAAGTGGTCCGTTCCGCGTTGTACAAGTTGATAAAAGTAATATTATAAAAGAATAGAAAGAAGAGGTTAGTAATTAGGTCAAGTTAGGTGATCGGATTACTGGAGATAGTCATAGACTCCCGTACCAAGATAGAGAAAAGAGTTAGAGAGAAAGAGAAAGGTGGATGGGGATTGTCTATCATTCAATAAGAGCGGAGTGCCCAACCATCGTGGCACCGTGAGATAGATATCAGGTGGGGGTTTAGAGGCTCCCAAAAAATATTGAAAAAAGAGCCCCGAGAAAAGCCCTCTTCCCAGAGGCAGCGAATCCCCGAGAAAAGTCCTCTTCCAAGAGGCACCGAGCTCTGAGAAAAGTCCTCTTCCCCGAGGCACAAAGTCCCAAGAAAGTTCTCTTCTAAGAGGCCCAAATCTCTGAGAAAAGTCCTCTTTCAAGAGGCACCAAGTTCTCTTCCCGAGTAACTAAAAATAAAGAAAAGTCCCCTTCCAAAGAGGCACAAAGTCCCGAGAAAGTTCTCTTCCAAGAGGCACAAAGTCCCGAAAAAGTCTTCTTCCAAAAGGTATTAAGTCTAAAGAAAGTCCTCTTCCAAGAGGCACAAATCCATGAGAAAAGCTCTCTCCAAAGAGGCACAAACCCCTGAGAAAAGCCCTCTTCCTAGAGGCACAAACCCCTGAGAAAATCCTCTTCCGAGAGGCACCAAGTAAGCTCAATTCAATCCGGCCCAAGACACAAATCAGATAAATTATTCAAAACGGAGACCGAGATATAAAACGAAGAAGATATTTGATGAGATGTAAGAATATTAATAAGGGCCAAGGACATATATTTGGGGGTCCCAAGCATATTATCTTGTCTTCCACTACTTCACCCCTTCCTTCCATTATTAAAAGAAGTTATGAAGAGGAAGAGGGGGAGACCAAAAGGAGGAGGCCAAATTCATATAAGCTCCTACTATATTTTAATTCTTCTTTTCTTTAAACTTGGAGCTTCATTAATGGCTCTAAGCTCCTACAATGATATATATGTAAATTCTCTCGAGATTAATAAAAGTTCCTCTCCTTTGGCATGACACCGCCTAAAAAGGCCCGTAGTTTTCTCCCGATTTGGGTTTCCATGTATAAATATTTTCTCTCCGCTTTATTTATTTATTTATTTTCCGAATTTTGCCATTCGGTGCGGTCCCAAAATAAATTGTCTGTTATTTGTTATCGTAAATTTTTAAGAGTAAAATACCTAAACTACGCCTAAAATAAGTCACTCTTCATCTTATCCTCTCATTCATCGTCACCCATCTTAAAAAGTAATGACAATTTTGGAAAATCAACTCTATTTTTTCTCTTCCTTAAATATGCCCAAAAGTCAAAATAAACGATTTAAAACGGGACGAAGGAGTATAAAATATATAATACAGAGTATAACATAAATTAAAAATTACAAAATTTGGAATACTTTTTTTGGAACAATGTTAGAAGTATAGTCTAATGGATTATTTTTCTCATCACACGTTAAAATCTTTAAATCCTTAGTAATTGTTAGCCCCCCAAAAAACACCATATAGTCGACCATAGTTTTTTTCAAGGAAAAGTTGACCATAGTTAAAGACTAATACTTTAATACTAAACCAATATGTAGATATAGATACTAATTTGTCATTCGATTTTTCGCTATTTTATTAATAGTCATTATATATAAAGTCATTATAAAAAAGTTTTTCTTTTTAAACTTGAATAACATTTTTGTATGTGATATGGACAAGGTCAATATTCTAGCTCACAGTTTTTAAACAAAAATTGCCTTTTCTCTTTTGGCATATTAAGTACTACTCCCTCGTCTCTAAATAAACTTTCTCTTTCGTTTTTTCTTTGTCCCTAAATAAACTTCTTTTTTCCCTTAAAAAACCTCTTTTACCCCTTACTTTTTCATACCCTATCTATCACATTATACCTTTTCATAATAATCTACATATCACATCTTACTTTTACACATCACATCAAGGGTATTTTTGGAAAGTCAACAAAAAAATATTCCTCCCTTAAATTCTTAAAAAATCAAAAAGGGAAGTTTATTTAGGGACGGAGGGAGTATTAATTTTATTTTCTAAAAAAATTGTTTATCTTATGAATCTTTCAGAGCAGGTTAAAGAAAAAAAATTAATGGACCTCATTGATAATTATGTTCAAAGTTGGTCATTAAATGTCTATTAAACTAAAAAATTTCAATAATTTTCACATGAATCTCAAAAATTTCAATAATTTTCACATGAATGAAAAATTAATTTGGATATCAACAACAACAACAACAACCCAGTTGAATCCCACAACAGTAGGGTCTGGGGAGGGTGTGTGTACGCAGACCTTGCCCCTACTCGGAAGTAGGGAGGCTGTTTCCAAGAGACCCCCGGCTCCACCTGCACAAAAATATGGAAGAGAATTTGGATATCAACAAATGGTTAAAAATTTACAAAGAACATGTGTCTCTACCTTTGATTTTGTTCCTAGTGAGATTGTTTATTGATTGTTTAGTATAATACGATGACTTTGAAATGTATAGAAATTTATGTAAATGAAAGTATACCATACACGAGGTTCTTACCAATGTTCTATAAATTGGATCAGATGTTGACCTGAAGGACCGAGTGGGTCAATGGTTAATTTGTTGAACTAGTCAAACCTAGGTCAATGCCTTGGTCAACTATAATTAAAATAATAGGTACTATTTTATACTCCATCCGTTCCAAATTAATTTCCTTATTTTCTATCCACAAGATCAAACTTCATTCATTTTCTTTCCCTACTTTCATTAGTTTTTTGATAAGGTAATATAGTCTTGTCACCATTAGTTTTGTATATCTTTTGATGTAGTTTTTTAAAAATGTTGTTTTTATCTTATAATCCTACACTATTTTTCATATAAAATGATTTGATAATAACTTCAGTCAAATATCATAAATCGAAGTAGGCAATGCAAATTGAGACGAAGGGAGTATTATATTACTAGATATTTTTAATTAATAAAAGTTTTTAATTCATATCTTTTTCACTACTCCATCTAGTTTAATTTGTTTTAATATACTATCTATCATTTTAGACTTATATTTAGTTAATTGAAAAGAGAAAAATAGGAAAAAAAATAAATTGTAGCATATGAAATTTTTCGATAAGAAATAAGTAATGTTTTTTTCTTTGGACTAAATGAAGTTCATAAAATAAATACGTTATACAAACATGACTCTCTTTATTGGAAGTTTTTTTCAATATATAACATGTTGTAGGAGTTTGTAGACAATTGGATCACTAGCTTATGTGGTAAGAATCTTGGTTAGAGATCCCAAAGGTTATGTTTTAAATCCCCCATGCCTCAACTTTACTTTTTAAACTGAATTTTTTTAGATCCAAACCTGCAACCTGGGATGGCCGACTTAGCTCACTCGTTCGCCCGGTTAGATGGGTTTGGGCAGGCCAATAAGAAAACAAGTTTAGCCTATGAATAACACCGGATAGGTGTCCGGTCGCGACCCATATGGTTAGGCTAGTCGGCCCATCCGATTTTCGAATGACTGTTCTAACTAAATGTCTTTTGTTATCATGGTTTTCTCCATTCCCCCCATGCCTCGACTTTACTTTTTAAACGAATTTTTTTTACATCCAAACCCGTGACTCGGGTTGACCAACCTAGGTCACTCGTTTGCCGGGTTAGACGGGTTTGGACAGGTCAATAAGAAAACAGATTTGGCCAATAAATCAGACCGGATTGGTGTCTGGTCGCGACCTATATGGTTAGGCTAGTTGGCCTGTCCGATTTTGAATCAGTGGTTCTAACTAAATGTCTTCTGTTATTATGGTTTTCTCCATTTTGTTCGTAGAACATGTGCGTTGCTCTGTGAGAGTGTTTAGAGGTTCACGCGAGGCAATTAAATCAAAATTTGAGGAACTTGTTTTTGGGATTGAGATTTTATAAGGTTGAAGACTTGGAGTAAGTTTTTTAGAGGAATGGAGCAAGTTTTTAAATAATAAAGGGTTACTAAATTAAAAAATAAAGAAAAAATTCATGTAAATACCCCAAGAAATTCATACTTTTACGATATTACTTTCAAATTCATTTAATTACTCTCCTATGATCTGTATTTCCATCTTCACTTCCATCATCCCATTATTCCCTTGACGCTGCCTAATCAACATATTTTTAATTCACTTGTAGTTGATTTTTTAATTTTACATAATTTGTTGTTGGAGTTCCCACATTGAAAAATAAAAAAGAATATATAGAAGGATAAAGTCTTACCTATTAGTTTAAGCTTTTGGGTTAGAAAGTGGATCCTGACTTTAAATGGTAAAGAAAATCCCTTAAATAGGAGTAAAACATATATCTTATCCTTATAATAAGAGCTCAAACTCAAACTCTCCTAAATAGGAGTATTTAAATAAGAAAACTATCTAGATAAAATCAAAACATAACTCCTCAAAATAGAAGCTCAAATTAAAATTCTCTAAATAAGACCTAAATAATTAGAGTCTAAAGTAACCCACCACGCCTGATTCTCAAATAAGCTCTTTCTTATCCATTCACAGCCACTCTCTTCAATCCATTGCAGTATCTTTTGTATTTTAATATATGGTGGGTCAATTGAAAGGGTGTTTAATTTAGTTTGTTTTAGGGGATGGGGTTGATTTTTTGGGATTTTTATAGGGATTCTATTCCTATCAATGTTATTTAGTTTTGTAATTGGCTAATGAAACTGATGCTTTTTGTTATGACTTATGAGAGCATAATAACTCTGTGCTATTTTTCAAAGCAATTTGAAGAGAATTATGTAGGCTAATTTTTTGAAGAGAATTGCTTTGGTAATTGCCTGGTCGTGCAAGGCATTAAGTCATATTTGGCATTATGCTTTTGTGTAACATTTTTAAATTCACATTGTGACATTATATATGAGCATTTGTAGCATTATATATGGGCATTTGTGCCATTATATATTGTTATGTATGACACTATGCGGTGTCATGTTTGTCATTATGTCTTTTTTGGCATTGTATTGAAATTTGATGGTTAATGTTACACTGCGAGTCTGCGACGACAACGATACATAATTGTGATGGTAGAGAGCGGTAGTGTTGGTGGTGACGGTGAAAAATCAACAACGGCAATGGAGGATTTTGACAGCAACGGCGGAGCATAGATGGTAGCGGCGGAGGAGACTTAAGTGATAATGGCAGGGACACAACGACTAGGGCGCAACGACATCAGCAACCTGTTTGTGATGGAGCAAGTTGCTGAATTGTGTTTTAGTTTCAGAACTATGACAAAATTTCTTTTTTGGTTTGAACAAGTTTCTTTTTTGGGTTGAGCTAATATTTGCGCGTACTCTTTTGTTTTCTAATATTTGAGCTAATACGGTAGATGAGGAAGATGAGTGGAGCGTGGGTACATTGATTGAATTACACAGATGAGTTGTGCACACATTAACTCCTATTTTGGGGATTTTATCTTTCTACTCATGTTTTTGGATTTAATCAATCTTTTACTCCTATTTTGTTCCTTAACCCTAAATGGTAGTGGTTAATTTTACCCGACACTCCATTCGTTGTTCTTGGCCCACCCGAATTTTAACATGATATCAGAGTAGGTTCGATCCTGGTCCAATTCTTCCTGATTGTTGGGACGTGGGTTTGGCAAAAATTAGCTACCAGAGATTGAGATGCTAGAGCCATTTGTTCAAATACTAACTAAACAGACTAATTACCACTTGAGAGGGAGTGTTGTTCGAATTCCCACATTTGACTAGATCACATCAGATCAAATCCAATCACATCAAATCAGAACTACAAAAAATCAGATCAAATCAGAAAAAATAAGTTGAATGGAACGGAGCCTAACTCTTCTAAAATTTTTCGAATTCTTTTATCGTATGTTTAAAAAATTCAATTTCTATTTCAAATCTAGATTTAACTCAAATTCCTTGTTTGGGTAACTTAAAAAATTTGAGTTTAGATTTGAGTTTAACTTTTCTAATTCATAACAAAGCTCAATTTAAAATCCATACACCTTATCTTGTCATTTCATATTCAAGAATTTAAATTTTGGAATTGAAATACATGAATTGAAATACTTGTTCTCCAACACTACCCTAATTCATATCAAAGTTCAATTTAAAATTCGTATAACCTTTTTTGTCATTTGAAATTCAAGAATTTTAATTTTGGAATTAAAATGAAAGAATTTAAATGAAATGTTGATTCTGAAGCACTACTTTAACATCTTGTATTTTCTTTCAATTTTTTCTAGTGACTCTCAATTTATTCTAGATTTTTTCTAATTTTTCTAGCATCTCCTAATTCATTAAATTTTTTCTAAAATTTTCAATGATGACATAAAAATGGTTGACTTGCTTTTTCATATTCTAGGTGTACTTAAAAAAGGGCTCCTAATTGGGGAAGATTCCCATGGTTCATTGGGAACCAATGTCATGGGATGACCCGGAGACGCTCCGGTGCCCCGTTCGTAAAATTGACGGTTCCTTTCCCCCCGCCCCGCCCCGACTCGAACACACCCCCCCACCCCTTCAATTGCACCCCACAAGTCGATTTTGACTTTGGAGTCAAATTTTGACTCCAAAGTCAAAATCGACTTGTGGGGTGCAGTTGAAGGGGTGAGAGTGTGTGTTCGGGTCGGGGCGGGGTGGGGGTTTACCGGGGGGTTAGGGGGTAAGAACCGTCAATTTTACTAACGAAGCACCGGAGCGCCCCGGGTCATCCGACATTGGTTCCCAATGTCATGGGAACCAAGGTGCTCCTAATTACTATTAATCCAAGTGTTATATGCCTTTTTTTGTGTAAAAGAGGATTGAATTCATGACTGCCCGAGCTTCACGTTCTCCTATACATATGCAGAATCTTTAGGAAATTCATTTTTTTTCATTACCCGTTTCAAGCTCTAGGACAACTACTCTTATTTCTTTTCCTGATTCTTGAACTTCTTGTTATAATAATGGCCGAACCCGAAGAATCAAGTCCTTTTTTACCCAAGAAAGAAGAACCCCAAGGAACGAATGGCGGGAAATGCTCCAAGGCCGCCGCTTTTTCCCCGTCTCCGGAGAGGAAAGCTTCCACGGCTGTTCCGATGGGTTGGACCGCCGAGGGCGTCCCGGTGGGACACGGCGTGATGGACGGCGAGCCCGAAGCTCGCAGGGCGGAGTGGGATTCCGGCCTTTGCGCTTGTCTTGGCCGGAATGACGAGTTATGCAGCAGCGATCTTGAAGTTTGTGAGTCTTCAATTCGCATTTCATTTCCTGTTTTTTCTACCTCGAAATCTATCATCCCCTCAAATGATTTTTATATTTTGGAGTCCTTTTTTTGGGTGTTAAAATTTGTAATTCTTGATGATTGTTTGGGTCTGAGGTCTTTGAATTTGCAGGGAGGTGCAGGTTAAGCCAATGATAAAAGATGACCCTTAATCTTACAACAATTTTTTTTCCAATTTTATTTACAACAATACAATCGGGATACGAACGGTGCTCTGTTCGTAAAATTGAATGTTCCTGGACTCTAACCCCCACATTCCGGTCTGGCACCCCCTCTAATTGCACAAGTTTTCATTTTTTGTCTTTATGATCAAATATTTGACCAAAATCAAAGGTGATGCAATTGGAGGGGGTGGGTTAGGGCGGTGCCGGGATGTGGGAGTTTTCCGGGATGGTTAGGGGTAGGAACAATCAATTTTATGAACGGACCTCCGTAGGTATCCTAATTGCATTGTTGTAACATTTGTTGTAAAAAAATTGTTATAACTTTACTCCCCCCTCATGATAAAATTGTTTGTGTTTTAGATTTGATTATAGATAACATGATGATTCAGGTTTATTGGGAAGTGTGGCTCCCTGTGTCCTCTATGGAAGCAATGTTGAGAGGATTGGATCTCCTCCTGCCTCTTTCTCAAACCACTGCTTGCCTTATGCCGGTTTGTACGTGATCGGGAGCTTGTGTTTTGGTTGGAACTGCCTTGCCCCCTTTTTCGCCTACCATACCCGCACAGCCATCCGCCGCAAGTTCAATCTGGAGGTACATTTTTGGAGCACTATTTATTCCTCAGCATTTTTTCCATCCCAAAACAGATGAGATTGCACTTAAATCTATCTTCTTAACAGGGAAGTTGCGAGGGGCTTGCCAGATCATTTGGATGGTCCGACGTGTGGGCCCAGGATGAGATGAAACACGAACGATGTGAGTCTGCGTGCGACCTTGTGACTCATGTGTTCTGTCATGTTTGTGCACTCTGTCAGGAAGCTCGTGAAGTTCGTCGTAGGCTTCCTCATCCTGGGTTTAATGCCCAACCTATCTTGGTGATGCTCCCTCCCGTGGAGCAGACAATGGGACGTTAAGGACGTGTTCTCTTCACCCGATCTGGTTGGTTCTGATCCGATTGGAATACGCCATAATCTTATTGTAATTTTATTTAAAGCTATTCTTGATTTGGTGTGGTCAAATCTGATCTGATTCTAATAAGAATAATTAATACGAAGTAAGTAATTAGAATAAATTGAGGAGAACATGACCTAAGTCTTGGGGAGCCAAGAGTATCTCTTCTTACTTGATTCTGTTATGTTTCTACTGTAACATTTGATATGTCACTACTATTGCTTTAACTAAATCTTAAGCATCTCTCACTTTGTTGTTGAGAGAAATGTAAAGACTCTAAAACACTTTTTGTCCTCTACTTTACATTTCTATGAATGGTGAAAAGTTTGGCTTTTACCTGCTCAATTGCTTTAAGTGATTGCTTTGAGTGATACTCTTACCGTCACACATACCAAAGTCGATTTGTGTATTTCATCAAAAATTGTACCAAACCAAGAGTATCCTGGCCTTTCCCAAATCGACGAGCTTTACATAACCAGGGATAAAGAGTTATATGTGGTTCCTTGAAAGAGCAGGGCAGCCACCACATGTTACAGAAAGCAACAACAGAAAGCATGCATTGATATTATTGATTCCCAATGGGATGAGAAACTAAACAGCACATCATCCACTACTATAGCCTGGGAATGGACTTCACCCAATTTGGAATCATCGACCTAGGAGGACCATCTTCTATTTTACCAAAATGATAAGCATGGAGGGCATCGGTGTTACAAGATCGGAGCAGAAGTATTGGATTAGAACAACCATCAGAGCCAGTCAACATCGAATGAAAGGGATGAATATGCTTTTTTATTCCTAAAGCATCAGGTGGACTAGGCAAGGCTTCCCATGAGCTTTTGAGTGGGTCATAAACCTCAGCAAAGGGACCATAATATAAGCCTCCACCCAAAGACATAAATCTTGCCATTGGGAATAAGGCAAGGAGGACCTAGGCGCCAACTAAGAAGCGGCTCTGCACCAATCATATTCAGGGTGGGCAGTGTCAAAATAATAAACATCGCGTGAGCTTTCATCACCAATAAGTTTCAAACCACCAATAACATAGATGACAGAGCCCAAGGTAACGACACTGGAACCTGCATAGGCAATATCTGTGGTTTTCAGCTCGAAGGTCGGAGATAAATCCCCACTGCTCATGTCAAGTTTGAACCATTCAACATAAACATCATGTTTAATGATATTCACGAAGCGCATACACACACCATTCTTCTTCCCTTGTCCCTTGTCGTTATGAGCACAGGGAGGAACTATCTTGATAGAAACTATAGTTGCTTCCATTGCACATACGGCTCCCAAGTCTTTCACTGGAAATAAGATAACAGAAACAAGTTCGAATAATCAACACACACACACACACAATTCCTGTGATTTGTAAGTTATTAGATTTGTAACATAGTTTGATGATCTGAAGCCCAGTTGCGGGTGCGGCGACCGGTGTGGGTGCACGACCGGTGCGCAAGTGCGGAAATTTTTGACAAAAAAAAAGGTGCGGTGCGGCAAATTTATTCATACATTTTTAATTTATATAATTCATTTCATTGTAAGATACATGTATTTATGTTCGAAATATTCACAACATATATTAATTATCCTAATTTTAAAGACATTAGGATAATTGCACACCAATTACAAATAACCCACATTTAATTCAATTAATCACACAATTACCAAGTACCCTAAAAATTAAAATAGCCCAAACAGCCCACAAAATAGCATTGAAAAGCGCAACAGGGAATCTTAATACTCTCGCTGGGTCGCTGCCCTCTCGTATCCAAAAAAAAACCAAACTTATGACACAGTTACAAATTCATACAAGAAGAGCAAACACCATTTCATACAAGAAATTGGAAGAGGAAAAGGAGAGATTTAGACAAGGAGAAGGAACGAGAGAGAGGCTGAGAGACATGGTGTGTAAAGATTAGAAGGGAATCGGAGGAGAGAAGATGATTCCTGAAGAACGACGCCGGGCACCGGTGAGGCCGGCACCAGAGAGCACGATGCCACGACGTCGATCGTTCGGCAACGAAGCGACATTTGGGAGTTGACTTACTCCCCAATTCATTTAAATTATTTTAAAAAATCATTTATTTTATTTTGGCCCCAATTTCTTTCAATCTCTACAAAATTGCCCCTCCCTAAAATAAAAAACACCCCGGCGCACCCCAGCCGCACCCGCACCCACGCGGTGCTTAGTGCGTCTGATATTTGAAGCACCCGTGCTTCATAGAACACACCTTTTGCAGGCATTGTTTTTAAGGGGTTTAGGGTTTGTTGCAATTGTTTTCATGTGTGTCCATCTTGGAATGTTAACTTCCTATTGGTTAATAAAAGGTGCCTAATGTAGTTTTGTTAATTTCTTAATAAGAATATGAAACAGAATTCAGCAATACGGAGTATATATACAAATACCAAAACACCTGATTTTGTGAAAAATACCACTGTGATAAATGGATAAAATTAGGGAGATAATCAGATAAAATTAGGATTAGAAAAGTTTGAACCACTAACTTACTATTCAAATTAGGGGTTGTCTGTGGAGGGGTCAAATCTGGGCTGATGATGAAGCACTCAAATTCAAATGAGATAAATACTCATTTGATTCAAGCTCTTTGAATGATGCTGTCTTTTTAATATATCTTTGCATCCTAAATTTAAATTCAAATAATTAAAAAATTAACAAGTAACCTTTAATGAGCACTTGACTGATTAAATAAATACGGAGTAGAAAATAAACCATATGGAATTAACCTAAAAAAAACCAATTGCTGACCAGCGATTTGCGTGGATGGACGTATTTTGGCTAAGGCTCAATTCTTGAATTGGGAATAAGTTAAACAAACTAGAAGAAATCGGATGAAACTCGGTGAAGTTGTAAAAAATTGAAAAAAAATGGATAGATTGGAAGTTGGAAATAATATAGTGTTAAAAAATCACTCAATTAAATAATCACTCAAATCAATATGCATAAACATGAATAACGGCACAACAATGCAACACAACCAAGTAGATCAAACTAGTAGATATCATCAAATATAATAATCATTCCAATCAATTCATATCATAAACAACAGTTGCATTAGAACAAGTAGCAAATGGTATGAAATGTTGAAGAATCCAAGCAAATCTTAAGCATACATTGCAAATGCTGGCACATAAAGACCACCAAGAGGAGCAAGGTAAAAGGATGAATCATTTGCAGATAGTAATGATGCATTAGCACTAATTGACATAGCTTCCAATTATAAAAATTCTTGCTAGACTACCAATAAAAGTGCTTATGGTTATATTGAATTACAGTTGTCTACTCTGAGGCAGTCTAGCGGCGAGAAGTGGCCAAATGTAATGATCACAAGAACAACCAGTAGAATCCCACAAAAGTAGGGTTTGCGGAGGGTGTGTGTACGCAGACCTTATCCCTACTAAAAGTAGAGAGGCTATTTCCAAGAGACCCCAGCTCAAGCAGCACAAATATCAAGTAGCACAACAAGAAGACATAGTAGCCAAATGTAATGATTAAAATGTTAAAAGTAATACTTTAAAAAAAATATTGTAATTCTTTTTGGAGTATTACTTTGATATTTAAACTTTAAGTTTTTGACCTAGTCTTGCTCTCATTCAAGTTTTGGTCATTAAATTAATGAGAATAGAAGGTTGATTTATCTTATGAAAGGACCAAAAACTATGCAAAAGATGCACAATGTACTCCACCATGCAATTGCTAGTTGAAAGCAAGAATTTGTGGTGACATAAGTAGTCAGTTCAGGTAGAAGCAAAAAGTTATGCATAAGACAACAGAAAATGAATGTTAAAGATGTTGGAAACCATATAAACTTGTGCAAGCTATAAAACTAGGCAAAAAGGGTTTATCTAGTTTACTGATGATAATAAATTGATAAATTTGTCTTCGCGAACAAATGAAATAAAAATATAGTTTACAGTGCACCAGCAGCAGCTGCTGCATATCAGGAAATTCTCACAACCATCTTGTTCTTCTTCCCTGCAGCCAAAAGCAAAACTTTCCCATTCAAAATATCATCCTCCTCAATCTTCTTAGCATCATTATCGACCCGGATATTGTTCAAGTACAGTCCTCCTTGTTTGAGGATTCTCCGTGCAGCGGACTTACTCTCCAGCAAACCACTAGAAACTGACAGATCCAAAAGCGAAATATTCAACACATGATCATAAGGCAATGAGCATGATGGAACATCCCCAGCAATACCCTCTATGGCTTTCCACTCCAACCTAGTATCTGCATTGCCGGGCCTCAAGGCTTCTGTAGCCTTAAGAGCCTCATCCAATCCCTCTTGCCCATGAACAAACTGTGTAACCTCCTCTGCCAATCTACGTTGTGCGGTATTAGGAGCATAACCAGGCTTCACCATTTGATCTTTGAGCTCATCAATCTCGTCAATGCTAAGAAAGGTAAGAATCTTGAGAAACCTCACCACATCAGAATCAGGAACAGAGAAGAAATACTGATAGAACTTGTAAGGAGATAAAAGTGAAGGAGACAGCCATATTGCTCCTTCTTCAGATTTCCCAAACTTGGTCCCATCATTCTTGAGGAGAAGGGGAAATGTTAAGCCATAAGCCACAGGAGAAACCTCAGCCTCAGAAGATTTTCGGATTGCCTTGCGAATAAGATCCGTTCCTGCAGTAATATTCCCCCATTGATCACTGCCACCAATTTGAACTGTGACACCTTCATTTTCAAACAAATGCACATAGTCATAACCCTGCAACAATTGGTAGGAGAATTCTGCATAGCTCATTCCTTGCTCTGCATTTTCTAATCTCCTCTTCACACTTTCTTTGGACATCATAGTACCAACTCTTGCAAACCTACCAACAACGCGCAAGAAATCGAGATATTTCACATCGTTCCACCAGTCATAGTTGTCTAGAATATGAATACTCGAATTAAGATGGGTTGAATCTGCAGACAGTAGTACTTGTCGAATGTTGGCAGAAATTCCAGCAATGTTCTGTTCCAATTTTAAAATATCGAGCTCGGGTCGCTCTAAACTCTTGCCGGAAGGGTCACCGATGCGGCCGGTGGCTCCGCCAATTAGAGCGACAACTTTATGGCCACAACGAAGGAACCATGCGAGAACAACAAGACCAAGAAGGTTTCCAAGATGGAGACTTTCTGCAGTCGGGTCAAAACCACAGTAGACTTTGAGGGGAGGGTGATCAGGATCAGAGCAAATGGAACGAAGGGTCTCATTGGTGATAGACTCTAGCAAACCCCTTTCCTCCAAAATCTCCACAATGTTGGACCGCCTCTGCATATTTGATTCCAATTCTAACTCACTCTTGATCTGGGGAGTCAATTGCGAGGAAGTGTCGCCACAGAGGCTTCGCAGCCGGTGGGAGTGAAGAGAAGTGAGCGATGGGATTGCATTGAATGGCAGTTTTCGGACAAAAGCGGGAAAAAATTGCCTTTGAGAACCTTTAAGTGTGAAGGTCCTCAGCAGTGTGCTAGCAAAAGCCATGTGTGACTGATGTTATCTGCAGGGTAGGTCGATGAATAAAACAAAACAGTGTCAACAATTCATTCTCTCTAAATTCCCTTGTAAAAGCACCCGTGCATTCTCCGTTATAATATAAATCGGGCTACAGGTGTTCCACCTAAAGTCCTACCGGTCAATCTGCGTGTTTTTACCTTCCTTACTTTGCCAAATCAAGCAAACTATTCTAGACCCGGTCTAGTATAGTTTGACCGGTCAAGTAATTTACACCATCATTTTTGGCGCCGGCCGTGGGACCGTTAAGGTTTCTTCTCCTAAACACAAACCTACCCACCAAAACACCACTCGAAATGTCTTCCAGCCAACGAATCAACGCTACTTCCGCTCAGGTGCAGGCCGCCAACGAGGGAGCCAGCATCCCTGTGGCTGCTACCATGCCGGTCATTTCAGCCCCGGTGTTGCCTTTGGGTCTGAGCTCTGTCCCGACGGCCAGCGTGATCAGTCCCTTCGTGACCCCCGTCCCTTCCGCTGGACCGAGGGTAACGTTCCCACCAAGCATGACTCAGTTCATGAATGACCCAGCCAACCTACAAGCCATCCAGGGCTTTGGCCAGGTCATGGCCATGTGCCAACAGAACGAGGGGATGCCTTTCCTCCCTGGTATGTTCCCATTTGCCCTTCCAGGCGCGGGGACCATGCCCCTACAAGCTCCGATGGCGGTGACGTCGTTCCAGACGCCGGTGCCGCAACCATCACCTTTCCAGCCCCAGCTGGTCAGCACCATGGCCCCTGTCAACTTGGCCGGCGCACTTAACGCCGCGGGGCCGTCGCGTCCCCCGCAAGCTACGAATCCACAGATCACTCCTGATGGTCACTGCGTCTCAATTGAGAGTGATGACGGCGAGTGGGACATTCCGAGGGCCCACAAGAAGAAGAAAGGAAAAAACATCCGTCCGGCAACTTCTCGAAACTCCGCCTTCGAAAGGCTGGGGGATAGGGAAGAGGGCCAGAGAAAGTCAGCCAAGCTGAGGCTGGGGCAGAGCATTGTCCATGTCAATGGGTTCGCTCGGTTAGGCGAGGGAATGGAGGCCAAGCCTGCCCGCACCCAGTGCTCCCGATCAAACCGGCGGGAGCCAGCAAGGACGAGGGCCTCTCGTCAAGAAGAGGAAGCGGAGAGCCAACCCAGGTTACCAATGGCTAACCGGTTAACCATCCCCAATGATCGCGTTCAGCAGATGGAGGCAAAATTGGAAAGGCTAGAGAAGACAGTCGGTGAGAAGAATGACCGGGACAAACCCCTCGCAGGGTCCCCGTTCACCACAAGGGTCCATCTGACACCTTTCCCGCGAAAGGTCAAGATCGACGCACCTAGATTTACCGGTAAGGAGGACCCTGAAATCCACTTGGACTCCTTCAATCAGAGTGCAACCATGAATGGTTGTACAGACGAAGAAAAGTGCCTCCTTTTCTTTCAAACCTTGCAGGACCGAGCTACTGAATGGTTCAACAAGCTTCGCCCGGGAAACATCGATTCATTCAGCGACTTGGCCTTGAAATTCAAGGCCAAGTTCCTAGAGAACTGTACTAAGAGGAAGAAATTCACCTATCTTAGTACAGCCGGGCAGAGGGAGTCCGAGAACCTCACTCAATTCCTTACCCGGTGGAAAGAGGAGGTAGACAAGGTGGAAGCGATGGATGACAAAACCGTCTTATCCCTCCTCTTGAATGGCTTGCGTGCTGGGGAACTATACAAGGAGTTCTGCCGGAAACCCCCGGCCACGTACCAAGAGGCCTACCACACTGCATGGGAGTTTGCTGAGGCTGAAACCCAACTCCGGGCAAAGAAAGAAGCTCAGCATGGTTACAAGCCCCAGCCGGTGCAAGTCAAGAAGGAAGAAGCCCCGAGACCTAGCCGGCCAAGACACCACTATGACCCGGTTGTCCATGTGGTCAATACGGAGGAATGCCAAGAAATCCGGAAAGCACCGGTCATTCTTCCGGCAAACCCTACCGGTCAAACAGGGCGGCAATGGTCGGGCACCTATTGTTCGTACCACAGGTCAGATTCCCATAACACCTCCGAATGCAAAGGTGTTAAGGGGGTGATCCGGCAAACGATAGATAGTGGAGAACTGGGCAAAGATTACCTGCAAAAGGCCCAGGAGAAGAACCACCAATGGATTAGGCCAAGAACCCAGGGAAATGACCGGGATACTGACCGGCGGAGGAATAACCGGTAGAGGGAGCAGTAGCCGGCCGCGGAAAAAGAACACATCGTCATTTATTATGTGAGCAAAAGCACTAAACGGAGCTGAAAGTAGATACACAGCGATGGAGAAAACAGCCTACGCGCTTTTCATCTCCGCAAAAAAGTTAACATCCTACTTCCAAGCTCACCCGGTAGAAGTCTTAACTGACCAACCACTGGGTGCAGTGTTGCGAAATTCAACATCTTCTGGGAGGATGGTGAAGTGGGCAATGATGTTAACTCAATTCAATATTGAGTACCGGCCAAGGTCAGCAATCAAGGGACATGCCCTAGCTGACTTCTTAGTAGAAATGACCGGTCTAACTCCAAACTTACCGGTCAACAAGCCCACTGAGCAATGGTGGGAGATGGTAGTTGACGGGGCATCCGGTCCTAGAGGATACGGGGGTGGTATCGTGTTCACCACCCCAGAAGGGTTCAAGATCTACCATGCAATCGTCTTCAACTTCAAACTGACGAACAATGAGGCAGAATATGAAGCTCTGGCTGGAGGGCTCAGGCTTGCCCAAGCCCTGAAAATCAGCCGGGTCAGTATCAAATCTGACTCTAGCCTGATAGTTGGGCAGGTGACCGGTAACATGGAAGCAAGGGAAGGACGCATGGCACAATACAAGGACCTTGTACTTGCCCTGTTGAGAGGCTTCGAAGAGTTCAAGATCGCCCAAATTCCCCGGGCGGAAAACGCGGACGCAGACCTTCTCTCCAAATTGACGCAGTATGCTCCCGAGCATGTTTCAAAACTTGCTCGGGTAGAGATCCTTGACCGTGCAAGCATCGAAAAATTGGAAGTCGCCGCTATAACGGTCGGAAGCCAATATGACCGGTCAAACTTGGTCGGGGCGGACGACCATTGGATGTATGATCTGATGGATCATTTGATGGATGGGAGCTTGCCAGGACAAGATGACCGGGCAAGAAAAGTAAAGCTCAAGGCACCCCGATTCCATTCTCCCTAACCTATGGATGCGAAGCAAGGCTGCCCATCGAAGCTGAATTCCCAACGTTTCGGGAGTCAAATTATCAACCCCAGCAAAATGAGGAAGATCACTTGGCCGAACTCAACTTGGTCGAAGAGCGGAGAATGGCCGCGGAAGTCAAAATGAGCACATACCAACAAGTTGTGAAGAAGTACCACGACAACAAAGTTAGGCCGCGTTACTTCCAAGTAGACGATGAAGTCCCGCGAAGGAGAGAGGCTAGTAAGCCGGGGGACGGAAGAAAGCTGGCCAAGAACTGGAAGGACCTTACCGGGTGAAAGCAATCACTTGCCCGGGGACCTACCGGTTAGAAACTCTAGAAAGTGAGGCCTACTTTTATTATCAATCGAATCGATGGCATTCAGCATTCTACGTGATAGCAACAAAAATGATAGGTCGAACCTATCCTAGGAGGGCTTCCCGAGAGGATCGAATCCACTTGGATAAGCCAACTGAGACACAGGCCCGGACCTGGCACGCTGGTTACTACACCGGTCTTGCTCAGTATAATAGAAAAAATAATAAAGCCCGGAAGAGGGGCCCGGAAGAGGGTATGCCTGCAAGAGGGCTGGACCAGGAAGAGGGTTCGAACCGTACTTACACGGGCCCATGAGGTTTGACCGGTGTCGGGGAATCAGCCGGCACCGTCAAATTGATTGGGGGCTAAAAGATACCCATTAAAAGAAATAGAAAGGGATCGTCCACCGTGGCGCATCCTATATCCCCCTTCTCAGGGAAGACTTGAACGGGGGGGTGAGCTAAGGCCTTCCCGGGATGGTAGAAATCAAAGGGCCATTAAAAGACTTAATCACCCGGAAGAGGGGGTCCTGGAAGAAGGGTGCATTTGGACCTTGGAGAGGGTTCGAAACCATTCGACATAGTTAAAATCTCCAGTATTCTTACCGGTTAAGGATACTTCAAGAAATTACTAGGTTACAGGTGCTTCCATCTACAACCTACCGGTCAAAAAAAAAAAAGAAAAAGGAATACCCCGGTTGGGTATTAATACAACGGAACTTCGAAAGTTCTACAAGGCAGAGCAGTTGACCGGTCATACCATAAAATGGGAACTTACCGGTCAAACTGCGCTTAAAACGAAGAGAGGGCAAAGTGGTAAAAAGGAGACAAAGTAGTCTACCGGTCAAAACGAAGAGAGGGCAAAGTGCAAAAAGGAGACAAAATAAGGTTCATCCGGTCAAACTTTTTCAAGTTGACCACCAAGATGAAGATACCCAAGAGCAAGAAGCAAGTTATACCGGCGGGAGTCTATCAAGAGGCAAGCAAAAAGTTGGAGTTCAACCGGTCTAATAAAATTTCACCGGGCGGTACTTTACCCAGTCAAACTCATTCAAGTTGATCATCAAGGTGAAGGCATTCAACAAAGAAGGTCGCGGTTCTACCGGTCAACAACAATCAGATTTCAAATAATCGAGGTTGTTGCATTCTGTACCGATAAAAGGCAAAAGCAAAGTATCAATCCGGGCACAATCGGCCGGGTAGAATGTTAAATGTTTACATGGTACACCGGGCAACCGGTTGTTTTCCTCCTTGAGCTGAGA